ATCTAGGGAATCATCTGTTAGATTTGATTATTCTTTTGATTTGAATAATTTGTATTAGATAGATTATGCGTTGAGGAAGGTTACTAGTTTTTGTCCTCGGCTCCGCCCGCGTGTGTGTTGGTTATGTGAGTTACGTAAAAGTAGCCCATGTTACTCGCGTAACCTCAGTGAAAGAATTTTTAAAATCGGTTTAGTAGTTTAGGCGTAAAACATTGAAAATATAAGTATAGATGTACTATCATGCTATGGCAGGTGCGATAATGGAGGAGTGGCAATATAGATACAAGTGTAACTACTTAGAATGGGTAGTAGGTACATTACATTTTAGATATTGCCCTGAGAGAGCCATGCTTCGACAAATATGGGTCCCGATGCAAACTTAATGGCGGCTCGGAACATCGTGTGTTTTGATGCGGAGAACACAATAATAGACAGCAGCGGGATGTGAAAGAGTGCGGACACAGGGCGACACACGACACGCATGCTTTTTAGTGTGTGAGTTACATCCGTACACTGTACATGCGTGCATATTCCTGTACACGTACCATGTATGGTCCAAGTCAACTTGACTGTAGGTATCTGGGCGCAGCTAACTTCATAGCCGCTATTAAGTTTGCATCGGACTATAACAAACCTGTGATGTGCAATTCTCGCGTTGTTTTGTAAGGCTATCTGTAAACTCAAAAGTCAGCAACTGACATGTGTCTCCTAAGCTGCAAAAAGGTGTCGATGGGCACCGATAGTGACTTCCAATCAGGTGACCCGTCTGATACTTTACCGAAAGAAAAACAAAAGAAAGATTAAGTCCCAATTTGCAGATCCAATTATAATAACTCTTTCTTATATTCCAAGAATATTTTTGTTAAAACAAACCTAAGAACAACTTTCCTCTAACAATAATTCAAATGAAGGAATAACTTTACCTAAGTAACAATAAATCTAAGTCGACGTTTTCGCGATAAATCTTATATACAAATAGAAAAACTAGCTCGGCACAACCAAGACCATTAATTGATATTCTCGTCAAATAGACATTTGTCATGGCAACCCTGAATGCCATTATCGAGTCGCCAGCCTTCTGGCCGTTATGACTTCCATTATTGCATAACACACTGAGTTATAACCAAAATTTAAAATTTACGACTTTCTAAAAGGAAATTCGTGTAAGGTTTGAATTAGGCTTACGACACATTGCGACCTTTTTTGTTTTAAAATACCATAATGAAAGCAATGTTGAATTGGCCATGAGTTTGTTTGCCCTTTCTTCTCGTAAGGCTCAACCCTTTGGAAACTGGCGGTTGTAGATCGGCACAGGCATATCATAGATTTTATATAAGATTATTTTTTATTAAATTTATTTACTTACTATTTGACAAAACAGAGATTGTTGTGTGTGTTGATCTATGACTTTAGAGTCTACATAAAAGACGATTTCAAACAATTTTAATTTTTTATGAAATAAAGAGAGTTTAAGTTTGAGTTTGAGTTTCCAATGGAGACCACGTACTGGAAAGCGCAGTGTGGGACGACCGCCTACCCGATGGACGGACGACCTGGTAAAGGTTGCCGGAATGCAGGCCGCAATCAACCGTCCCCGCTGGAAATCATTGGGAGAGGCCTATGTCCAGCAGTGGACAAGCATAGGCTGAGGTATAAGTTTGAAAGCTAGATATCTTTTGTTGGTGACATAGACCTCCGACCATGATATAAACAGTTGTAAGTAATTTTAACCGAATTCAGAAAAAGAAAGAGTTTTACCGTTCTGTTGTATTTTTTTTTGTGTTTGTTACATGAAAACTCTTCATCTTATGAAGCAATTCAGAAAAATCTTTTTTTGTTTCAGTGTTCAGCTTTCCATTATTTTGATCTCATTCAAATTTAAAGAATAGAACTGACGGTGGAAAATAAGATATAAAGAATACAGTTTATTATAATCCGTCAAGTGCGTAAGCTACCATAGAAATATTTCTACGACTACTCCTTTTTTTTTTTCTTTCTTTTTTTTTTAAAGACAACTCCCGCATTAGGAATATATCCTGTGTCGCATGGGACTTTACAAACATACATGAAACGGACACAAAGAACACCCTGACTCAGAACAACAATTTGTGGATCACACAAAGTGTCGTCCCATGTGGGGTTTGAGCCCACAACACTCAGCGTAGTAGGAAGCGGCGTGCCGACCGCTTAAACCACTACGCCATCCGTGCAGTCAACCTAATCCTTCTCGATAAATGGGTTATATATCATTAAAATAATTTTTCAACACGAACCAGTAATTCCTGAGATTAGCGCGTTCAATCAAACAAGCAAACTCTTCAGTTTTATAATATTACTCATCATTATGCCCAATGTGTATAGCGCCTTAGGGCCTTAATTCAAGGATTTAGGGTCCCTTCATTTGTCAAAAGAAATTCATTAATCCAACTCCGTCTGTAATTTCTACTTTTATTGGATTTTTATAATATTGTCTTTATAAGCGTAATACAATTTCTGACATTGTTAAGAGTCTTATCTTGCGACTTATTTAATTAATGTCAGTGGTGTATTTCAAATGTTGCTACTTTTAATTGTTTTCAGATTATGTATAAACGCAGAATTTTAATAAAAATGTTCTAGAAAAAAGCTGTGTTGTAGGTCCGATCCCCACATGGGACGACACTTTGTGTGATCCACAAATTGTTGTTCTGAGTCTGGGCGTCCTTTGTGCCCGTTTCATGTATGTTTGTAAAGTTCCCCGCGACACGGCGTTTATACCGTGAGCAGGAGTTGTCTAATAAAAAAAAAAAAGATGTATACCTTTTTTTATGGTATAAGGGGGAAAACGAGAACATGGGTCACCTGATTGTAAGCAACTACCGCTGCCCTTGGAGTCCCTTCAAGAATAAACTCCTAAGCCACAAAATATATATGTTAACTCCGCCTTATACACTATATTTGAAGCAAAAAATAAAAAACATCATTTTTCAAGAAATACTTGAATTAATTAACAAAGGCTTGTTTTTAATCAATTAAATATGTATGTATAATACGTTAACTATGTATAAACATTAATCAGACCTAAAAAAAAATAATAGGTACTAGTCACAAGTCAAGTGACAGATAAAAAAAAAACAAATTGGTGATGGTCACTTTCCATCAGGTGACCCGTCTGCTCGTCTGCCCCCCCTTAACTTAAATACCAAGGCGAGTTACATAATCAGTTTAGTGAAGTACCAAGTCACTTAGAAAACCTAGTCAAAATTAGGTTATGCAAGTAGCAGTCTCGTTACCTTGCTCAAGTTATTTAAATATGTTTGTTTAGAATGGGTTTTGATCAGTACAGTGTACTGTGTGGCTGTTGGTCGTGAGGTCGCGGGTTCGATTCCGTTCAGGAGAAATAACTGTGTGATGATCATATCATTTGGTCTGTGTCTGTGTGTAATTTATCTATAACAATTTATGTATTCTGCAATATACAGGGTGTAATGGACGTCGTAACGAATACTGAAATAGTGTATTCAAACCATCATTCTGAGTAGAAAATCGTTGGAATTTTGTGGCGGCAAATTAAACTTTTAATGCAATCAGCTGTCAAAGGTTAAGGTTAGGTAAGGTTAAGGCACAAAAGTAACAGCTACATGTGTATTCCGTGTAAAAAGTCTACGCTCACAAACACAAGTTGGCGGTGTGAGGAGGCCCCGCGCGCTTCGGCTGTTTGATTACACATTGCAGTTTTTGACCGTATGCGGTATTTATCAAATTGTTTTCAGTTAAATGTTCAGTTTACTCATTGTGATATCATTTTTCATCAATATTTAACCAAAAGAAATGCAAAATTTAAAAAAAATAGATGAACTTTCCTTCAGTAAATTCCAATGTTTTTCGACTCAGAATCATGGTCTGACTACACTATTTCAGTATTCGTTACGAGGTCCCTTACACCCTGTAAGTATGTTAATCAGCTGTCTGGTTACCATAGCACAGGCTCTGCCTAGTTTGGGATCAGACGGCCTTTTGTGAGATGTCTGAGGTTATTATTATTACTGTACCGTATGTAGTGCGTGGTGTTCTTCAATTTCATGAAGGCAAGGCTCAACTATTGCGTTACGGACATTAAGACGAAATTTATTTTTAAAATCATATTTTTTAATAAATTGTTTTCTTTTCTTTTGTATACTAATAAATTCTTCGTGTATAATTTCATAATAATGCATGCAAATACTTAAAATAATAAAAATGCGTGGAAAAATTCTTCCATTGTCTGTCCTTTTTTTATTTAGCTTCTTCTTCTCAGCCGAAAGACGTCCGCTGGACATGGCCTCCCCCAAGTTTTGCCACAACAACTGGTCCTGCGTTGCCCACATCCTACGGTTTCAATCTTAACCACATCGTCCTTGTGGGGGGCCTACCCACGCTTCATTTCCCGGTACGTGATCGAGATCCTTTTGGCCACATCGGCCATCATTTCAACGAGCAATGTGCATCGCCCTCTGCCACTTCAGTTTGGCAATTCTCCAGGCAGTGACCTTGGTTCGTCTGCGGATCTCCTCATTCCTGTTTTGATCACGTAGAGAAACTCCGAGCTTTGCCCTCTCCATTGCTTTTTGGGTGACTTTACCTATTAAGAAAGTGGCAAAATGATTAATAAGCCACTGTTTATCCATTAGGGATGTTTTGATATATATAGGTAATTGTTACACAGAATTAAGAAATTCGATATTATTCATTGCTCGTTAAGTAAACTCTAATATACTCTTATATACCGTAAAGCTCTTTAAACATCTCGAAAACTTATGTTTTATACTAGACGCGTATATTTGAGCTAACATAACACTTGTAGAGTCCTTCAGGGTAAGGGTTGAGGACCGAACAGGTGTGTGACTGAAATTACCAACGGAGGGTAAAATACGGCATGCCAAGTTATCCGCTTGACTGAGCTCGATTGATTGAGTGATCTTGATTTTTTTAACCGATTTAAAATGGAAGGAGGACAGCTCTAATTTGGTTAGGTTTTCAAAATGTTCATTACGTAATATCTTTGGAGGCATCAACACCTCCCTCCACAAGACCCCTCTAAGCGAACAAATAGGCTCATATGCCCCACACAAGCACACAAAACGTCATTCGCCAGGAAACAGCTGTATGTTATAAGTTCTCTAATTTACAAGAATGTAAACAAGCAAATTAAAATAACAACATTAAATAAATATGAAGTTAAGAAGAATATACACAATTGGTTACTAGAAAAAGACTATGCCCAAACCGAAGCATTGCTCCATCATGGAATATAAAAAAAAAAAACAAACAATATGTACGATACATTATTTTCCACAACACAGATCCACAACCTTCCTACACAACCTTCCTACAACCTTCTAATTACACATTAATTCACAGTCACACGCACACACACACACACACACACACACACACACACACACACACACATACACAAATACACACGAAACACTTCATGCGTGTACGTCCCACTACTTTAACTTCAAACCTTAAAAATTTCAACATAAATGTAAAATACCTATAATGAAATACCGTGGTCTTCCAAGTTACAGGAAGACCTAGTTTGGTGGGCAGGGTCTACTTTGTACACCTCATACGGTTATAATATGTTATTGGATAATACTCGTATATTGGTACTGAATAGAACTAAACCAATATTTCTTAATCAAAAAGTTTTTTTTTTGTTATTAAGGTCAGGTTCTTTGAATGGTCGGATAAAAAGTAAAAAGCAGGTGAAATATGTGAATACGTCTCATGTTATAATTAAACTTTCATCAACAGCTCTTAACAGTCCACTGCTGGACATAGGCCTCTCTTTAGAAAGGAGGTTTTGGCCTAGTATACCACGCTGGCCAGACGGGTTGGTATAGGGTTTGTTTCAAATTTTCCTTCTCTCTGCAGTGCTGTTGTCCTGCGTAGTTTTTTCCCTTAGTCGGCTCTTACGACCCACAGGATGAACAGGGGTTATGACACTCTGTATTCTTAATCCGTCACCATACGGACCATGATTGAGATGTTTGGAAGTAATTGATGTGAGTCTAAAAACTCTTCTAAACCACATCATACACATCACACATCAACAGCCTATACTAGTCCACTGCTGGACATAGGCCTCTCCTTAGAAAGGAGGTTTTGGCCTAAAACCAATTAAACCTTCTAAACCAATTAAAATAAATACTTTTTTGAATTATATTAACAGTAATTTATTTCTACAGACACGAGTCACGTAAAATTAAGTTACAAACGAATGTTAAACCTACAAAAAGCGAGAAAATTGTATCAATTTCTTCAAATAATATTTTTAGGGTTTACTTAACGAATTTTCTTCAATCTTCTTAATTAAATACAATATTTGTACTCTTTTGAAACAGATATAATAATGTTATCTATTCAAAGTAATTCGTGTGAATTCTTAAAAAGCTATTGATTCTTGTCAGAAAGGTTATTTGTGCGTTCACATCACACATCACACATCAACAGCCTATACTAGTCCACTGCTGGACATAGGCCTCTCCTTAGAAAGGAGGTTTTTGGCCTACTATACCACGCTGGCCAGACGGGCTGGTATAGGGTTTGTTTCAAGTTTTCCTTCTCTTTGCAGTGCTGTTGTCCTGCTTAGTTTGCTCCCTTAGTCGGCTCTTACGACACCCACGGGATGAATTGGGGTGGTGACAATTTGTATTCTTAATCCGTCACCACACGGACTTCTTTGATTTGTGCGTTCACCTTTTATTATTTACTGAAAGAACTTATTCTGACATATTTTGGTGAATATCACAAATACCGGTGACCGTCAAATTAGGCTCGTAATGGATGAAAAAATAAGATAAGATTTCCATTATATTTGCTTGACATTGGTACTAATTCTGTTGTTCGAAAACTCTCTAAACTAAATTAAAAATCACAAGAAATTTGTTTCGTCCTGTCTAAAACGTTTCCTGTTCTGAAAACGTAGAATTTGGCAGGACAAAAATTTTTTTTTAGGGATTTTTAGTTTAGTTTAGAGAGTTTTCGAACAACAGAATTAGCACCATTGACTAACATTATTGACATTTGACTTATAAGCTTGTTCGGACTAATACCAGCCGCAAATTTCCGCTATCGTTCCACACGGCAAAAATTTCATCCTCATTACCTGGATAGTTGAAGCTCCACTACTGTGCGCTTTTCGAGACACTTTTTGCCCCGCACAACCAATCTGTGGAACGGGTTATCGTCTGCGGTATTTCCGAACCGTTACGACCTTCAAGAAAAGAGCGTACTCCTTCCTAAAAGGCCGGCAACGCGTTTGTGACTCCTGAGTTGCAGATGTTCATGGGCGGCGATAGTCACTTTTCATCAGGTGACCCGTCTGATCGTCTGCCCCCTCTAATATAAAAAAAACAAAAAATTTAGTGCACGGATGGCGTAGGGGTTTAAGCGGTCGCCATGCCGCTTCCTACTACGTTGAGTTCGAGCCCCACATGGGACGACACTTTGTGTGATCCACAAATTGTCGTAAATAACCAATAAAATAAGTGTGAAATATTGCCAATAGAAGATGGCACAGAAATGTTCATTATCTAATAAAAACTAGTTTATTACTTATAAGCTTCTTCAAATTTAATAATGTGTTACATTTATATATATTTATTTTTTTAAAGCCATCTCCCGCCCTTGGAATAAATCCTGTGTCGTGGGGGACTTTACAAACAAACTTGAAACGGACACAAAGAAGACCCAGACTCAGAACAATAATTTGTAGATCACACAAAGTTTCGTCCCATGTTGGGGATCGAAACAACACTCAGCGTAGTAGTGAGCGGCGTGGCGACCGCTTAAACCACTACGCCATCCGTGTTTCATAATGTTATATAATCAAGAATAAGAAAAATATACTACTAAAGGGAGAAAATATAGGAATACAGTTTATTATATACCTGATATTTTTTTTATGTTTCTTTTTCTACTAGCTCACTTTTTTTGTAATAATTAGTACAATCTGCTAACACCACATGGACGTCTCACCCCTCCCGATGTCTTTTTCTTTTTGCGTGTTGAAACCCCTAGAACCGTCCCTAGAATCCTACTGGGTTTTCAGAGAGATAGTGTACCAAAATCAAACCAACTAAAATAGAACAGTGTGCCATATTATGCCCAAAATAGAAGAGGATCGAGAAAAGTTTTTATTAAGACACCGTGCGCCTGCATAGCGCCAGCACCATATTAAACACTTCTTAATAACACAACGTCCTGACACATGCGAACGTCGCCACCACAACGCTGGAATATAACCTAACTTAGATGGTTTTTTATTAATTATAAGTACTTCCGTGTGGTGACGGATTAAGAATACAGAGTGACACCACTCCTTTTCATCCCGTGGGTGTCGTAAGAAACCACTAAGGGAAAACGCAGACCAAAAGCACTGCAGAGAGAAGGAACACTTGATACAAAACCTATACCAACCCGTCTTGCCAGCGTGGTGAAGTAGGCCAAAACCTCCTCTCTAAGGAGAGACTTAGTCCAGCAGTGGACTATTAAAGGCTGGCAAGTAGTTTTGTCAGATTCCGACTGCAATGTACAAACTTTTAAACAACTTATTGCTCCACTTATTACATTGTGATTCAAATGATAATTTGTTTGTTATAGCTGCAGCTATGATTACCTGGAAATCATTGAGGCTGGAGTGGAGAACGGCAGCGAGCACGCCCAAGACTGGTTACTGCAGGAACATCATGACTCTTATTCAGCAGACACCGAGGTGAGAACTAACTTTAATGATTATACTGCTGATTCACGAGTTATTCTAAACTAGCTTTTGCCCTTGGCTCCGCCCAAATTTATGTCGGTTATCGCGGTCCTATGTCCTTCCTCAAGATTTAAGCTACCTCCAAAGTAAGTTTCAACCAAGTCGGTTCAGTGGTTATTGATTCCCCATGGATGGAATAGAAAGGTTGATTTCTGGGATATAAATCCCATCCTATGTCCTTTCTCGGGACTCATACAATCTCTATACCAAATTTCATCTAAATCTGTTCAGCGGTTTAAGCGTGAAGAGGTAACAGACAGACAGACACACTTTCGCATTTATAATATTAGTATCTCATTCGTTCAAATATGAACTTAAAAAGCAGTCCTTGAAAACCCAAAACAGTCCTATAGCAAAACATAAACGTATTTCTCTTTCAGATATGGGAGGAAACCGAAACCCAACTTCCTGAATCTGATGCCATCAGCTCGGGCTGGCTCCGTGATGTTCACGCGACGCGTGCAAGACGCCTCTGCGGGGATTGGAGCGATAAGTTGAAACTTCTACGATACCAGTCCAGAGGAAATGTTCTGAGATTACGTTTTAGAGCAGACCACTCAAGACACTACGCAGGATTTAGAGCGAAGATCACTGTAACAGATTGTAAGTAATGTATATTAAGTAATATTAAGTAAATAAATCATGAAAGGGTTAAACAAACATGCGTGTGGTGACGGATTAAGAATACGGTGTGTCACCACCCCTATTCATAAAGTGGGTGTCGTAAGAGCCGACTGAGGGAGCAAACTACGCAGGACAACTGCACTGCAAAGAGAAGTAAAACTTGAGACAAACCCTATACCAACTCGTCTGGCCAGCGTGGTATAGTAGGCAAATAAAACGGAGAGGCCTATGTCCAGCCAGTGGACTATTAAGGGCTGTTGATCATGATGATCTAAACAAACATACCTTGACTGGATAGAAAGATATATTCGTCTTGTCTAGCACATATTTGTGGCAGTTAGATGTGCTTACATTTCTGAGTTTTGCAATTGATTAAATCTTTAAATCTTTAAATCAAAATCTTAATACCACACAGGTCAACATCTGCTACATTTATTGCATTGTGTTATTAATATTATCTGCTGAAAAGTCGCCAGCGTCAGCACAGACAATGAATATTGGATAATGCTGAAACGCTTATCCTTTACAGCATAACTAGCTCTCGCTCTTTCATAGTTCATTGAGCCCACTACAACGAACTATGTGGAAAAATAGAGTATCAAAAGATCACCTAATTAAATCAATCGCTACCTATTTAGGACCTTAGCAAATAGCCTACTTTTAAAATAGTCTTACTGCAGGTAGTAGGACTTATTCTGACCTCTAGTAACTCCAATTACCACTCCAGAAACATTGCGATTCCAGTCTAAACAAACCATTACAAAAAATATTCAATATTCATAGCTAAAATCACACTGTTTCATGTTTTAATTCCAACTTTCCGCCGTATTCCATTCGGACGCGCCAGTACAGCGGAACAAGCTACAAATAAAGTTTGCAACTTCCCCATTGTGTTCTTCTGAACCTTTGGCCCATTAAGATAAAGTTTAAATTCGCTGCACACAAACAACAATGGCAACAAAGTTATTGAAATAATTAAACTGACCTTCTTACGCATACATAAAGTTTATAATTCAATGCTCGGGCTGTATTTGAAGTCGGTGGAGAGTATCTGGAGTCAAGTAAACGTAGAATAGTTTTAATTAACCTCTGTGTATAAGATTTTTGGCACATTGCTGTTCAGGTTTTTGTTCGGACTTCGCAAGTAGGCGTTTTTTGAGCTCATTTACATTAATTTTTAAATAGGTGGCTCTATTAAGGAGCAAAGCTACGGATCCAAGATGAGATTTTCCTTATTATAAGATTAGTAAAAACAATTATACAAATAGCGCTAAATTTTTAAGTGTTCACATACTGGTATTGTTAATTCCACGTGCATATCCCTACTAATTTTATAAATTCTATCTATATATTCTATCTGTAACGCTTTCGCGCCTAAACCGACTTTAATGAAAATTTACTGATTTCTGATGTTCTCTATAAAGAACACGCAATCCATCCTAATATTATAAATGCGAAAGTAAAACTGTCTGTTATCTCTTCAAGCTTAAACCGCTGAACCGATTTGGATGAAACTTGGTATAGAGATAGCTTGAGTCCCGGGAAAAGACAGAGGATAGTTTTTATCCCAGAAATCATCCTTTAAACATAATGGATTTTACTCGGAATAAAAAATCAACGTCCATACTAAAAGTAGACATCTCTTTTACGTGATTAGAAAATAAACAAAAATATCTAAACGAATAATATTTTCAACCAGTTTAATTAAACAAAAGGTTTTCTAACTTAAAGTGCTTTTGTCCAGAGCATGCGAAATTACTTATCACTGATTTTTTTAGTTAAATGCACTTATATCTGGTTATAAATTTAACTGTAAACATATACGAATAAAATTGAAAGATTCATCGGGGACCATGGCAGTTGGAAGCGGTCTCCAGCGTAGTGATTACGCCTGTAATAAATTGTACGTGCAATCTTTAGGCAGCATTTATCTTACATTGCCTTTGAACTGTATTGATTCACAGTAGCAGTTGCTATTTATTTAAATGTTTTGTTAAACTATCTGTTGGTACAATGATTTTTTTCGTAAATTTTTTATGCAGACACTTTTCGAAAATTCTGGGTTTTCTATCTGTTAAGAATCTATAATTTTATTCATGTAAGCTCTCTCTTTTACTCATAGGTTTAACAGTCAACTTTCAAATTGAATTCATCAGTTCTAAAATGAGAATTCTGTATTAAAATAACTATTTTTTCTAATCGTTTAACTTTACGCGTACGTACGTAACGTTTTGCGTTATTTACTGGGTCTTCTACTAAACAACTTTAAAAAATCAACACTCCTTTTTGTCACATGGGGAAAATATAGATGAAAATGGAATACCTGATTACCTAATTCAGAGAAAAAGTTTTTATCCAAAGACCTTTAAGAGAAAAATAACAGGTAGTGTTTTCCTCGTACAGGTCGGTCCGGCTCTGGTAACCCGGTATGTTCGTCCTGTAATTTTAGACACCACTAGGACGAGAATATCTCGTGCTCTACCGTAATTTCTAAGTATCTAACACCTACAAATCGTCAACTACGCTCTTCCCGCCAAAACCTTGTGTCAACCAAGGTCAAAGATTATAATATTATATTACATTCACCGCAGTCTAATCCGAGCTTATTTCTGCTGTCTAAAGCGTGAAGCGTACCATGAGAAGAATAAACCGTTTGAAATATTAACATAATTTATTCACAACACAAGTGAACACGTGGCTCGTGTATTCGGTCCGCTTGATTTTAATTTAAAACATTGTTCTTCCATATTACGTTAAATGTTCACGACGCGACGTGAGCATAATCCCTTTCTTAATAATTTACTTTATAATGTTGAAAATGGCCAAAAGCTGTTCTCTAATTATGAAATATTTTTAATTTTTGTGAAGCATATATCCGTGTGGTGACGGATAAGAAGTGTCACCACCCCTACTCATCCCGTGGGTGTCGTAAGTGTAAACTGAGGGAGAAAACTACGCAGCACAACAGCACTGCAAAGAGAAGGAAAACTTGACACAGACCCACCCAACCCGTCTGGACAGCGTGGTATAGTAGGCCAAAACCTCATTTCTAAGAAGAGGCGCATGTCCAGCAGTGGACTGTTACAAGCCGTTGGTATGGTGGTGTGTGAAGGATTTTTATAGTTTTCTTTTAAATAAGGTTAAGAAACTATGAAAATAGTAAAAAGTGATGATTAATAAGATTAGACCAGTAAGATATTCTTACTTTGAAATTGCTTAGTGGGAATATTTTTGGACTCCCAACATGCTACCTCTAAAACGCGCTCGCTGTCGAAATCTGGACGTGCAGATCCCACCTTACACTTAAGGAAAACGTAGGTCCGGTCCGATTATGAACAGGATTTGAATCCCATTTCTTCTACTTTAATACTGTTACCGCATTCCTACAATCTATGGGAGTGATTTCATGAAAGGGTCAAACTGTCCGTGCTAAGTTGGGAAAGTGGGCGCTATTTAATTTGCCTAATGAAAGCGCACGGGCTAGATGTCAAGTGTTACGCATCATATGTGACTACACTAAAGCTTGTTCTCGTTTCTATGAAGTAAAGTTAAAATTACTAAGTTACCCTGACATTCAACAAAAAGTTTTCCACTAATACTCAAACAATACATTTCTAAACAGGGGGTTGCCTAAAAGTGCCAGTCCTGCGTGGTATAGTAGGGCAACAAACCTCCTTTTTTATAACGCTGTTATAACTGATGATAATTTCATCATCATATACCACGCTGGCAAGGCGGGTTGGTACAAGGTTTGTTTCTATTACTGTTTTCTTTGCAGTGCTGTTGTCCTGCATAGTTTGCATCCTTAGTCGGCTCTTACAACACCCACAGGATGAATAGGGTAAGGACGGGACTCGCACTAATCAATAAGAGATGTTGCTTGTACTGCGATAGCTTTATTAATCCCCGATTAAAACATTACACATGTCTTATATACTAAGATTACTACGTCACAAGGGGATATTCTTAATCCGTCACCAGACGGTCAGATCTGATGATAAATGCCTGCAGAGATCATATCCTGTACATTCAGCTGTTGGTTCCAGAAATTTACAGAAACATCAACAAACAAATAATTAATGCGTTAATTGACACAACACACTCAGTTCCGTCTAATTTTTAAACATTCTCAGAGTTCAATTACATAAACTGAAAGCATAAAACGTCTGTCAGTTAATTAATAAACCGCGAAACCATAAATAGCAGACTCGCGTACTTAAACAGTAATGAAATTAGCTCTATCTCAAAGCTGTTTAATATGCTAGACGCAAGAATTGGAATATGTAGAAGATTTTGGTTTCGTTAGGTAATTTATTAAACCGACATGCCTTCACTTTACCGCTTTTTAAGTTGACACAGATAATATAAATTAATATTGACGTCGGCCTGGCAAAAGAGGCACAACTCTCTTGACTGGTGACCCGTCTGCCCGCTTAACCGTTATTTCATTAAAAAAAAACATTCTAAAGCCTGTCCATAACCAAGAATATTCTTTATTAAAAAAAAAGTTTTAAATTTAGTATAGCCATATTAAAGGAGAACGGCATATCCTGTACCCCTAATAATATGTGATGGATGATTATGAAATTTGTAACGTTTATAAAATGAATTATCCTATTTTCATGTCATTATCATATTTTTAGAACTTTGCTACAAGTAAACAAATTCTTCTCGAAGAATTGTTAAAACTGGAATAATTAAACGTTCAAGTATTTCTAACATAACGCATTCCTGCGTTTTCTAAACTTGCCAAACATAAAATATAAATTACATAAAAACTATATATTTACATCGAAATTAATGAATGAGCTCAGTGGTGTATTTTGCAATTAAAAATAAACATTTCTTTATTAACAATGTTGACTATACATATTAGACGATTATTATCAAATTAATTGATTTGCTATAAAGGAATTATTATTTTAAATCAATTAATTTAAGGAAATAACTTTAAAAAATGATCACGATTCAATCCGATTAGATGAATCGTGCTCATTATGTAAAAAAACAATTAAACTGATTTGACAGGGCATCAATTTATTGACGGATCGAGAAATTTATAAACGAAAGTTTTTGACAGCAATGATAAGTCAACTGTGACAGACAGCTGTCATTGGTAACGACTTCAGTACAGCCTTTGGGCAAACTACAAACTAAGATAACTTTTAAATGCAATGTTCTTAAAATCTGGTAATTAAAACTGTAATTGTTGATGATATTACCAGACAAAAATGTTGAATTCAAAACCCTTTTTTAAAAACAACTCACGCACTAGGAATATATCCTTTGTCGCGGGGGACTTTACAAACATACATGAAACGGATACACAGAACACACAGATACAGAACAACAATTTGTGGATCACACAAAGTGTCGTCCCATGTGGGGATCCCACCCACAACACTCAGCGTAGTAGTAAGCAGCGTGGCGACCGCTTAAACCACTACGCCATCCGTGCAGTCAAAGTTATAAACTTACTTATAACAAGGCATTATTTCCTGAACTCCTGCCACATTTTATCGTATTACTATTGAGTGTTTGATATTCCGCCTTCAGGTGTACGAAAACGAAAACATTCTGCCATAGTACCCCTTACACAACGATATTGTGTACCAAAGCCATATCTATTTAAGTAACAACGGGCCTTGAAGGTAATGGTGGAAACATATTGCGATGTACAATTTGCGCGGACCACGAACTCAACGGAAGCCATTTGCCGTACAGGACACATCAGCTAGACTGATTATATAGAAGAGTGGTGAACATATGCTTGCTGAGCTGAGCTGAGTGCTTTGTAAAGCTTATAAGTATTTTGAGGACGATTTCTTCTGTTCGTTTTTTTTCTTTTTGTTTCCTTAGAACTCCCTCATTTATGCCCTAATTTTGCAATTCTATTTTTAATTCTAAGGATATGTATTAGTCGATTAGTCCCATTTCAATAATATTTATAACTCACACACTTCACACACGACCGTCTGGTCACAAACTAGGCAGAGCCTGTGCTATTGTAACCAGACTGCTGGTAAACATTCTTATATATTTCTAAATACATACATATTATAGATAAAGTACACCCAAACGCAGAACAAATGACCGTGCTCATCACACAATCATTTATCCTGGGTGGGAATCGCACCCACGGCCCCTGCCGGAGCAGTCAGGGTCACTAACCACTAGACCAACAGGCCAATCGAAATGTATGTATTGGGTTGCGGCAATATTTCAATAAAACTCACGTTAGATTTCTATAAACGCGATATTATTGAGCACAAACGATATGTCATTTGTATACCAAAGAGAAAAGTAAAACCACCAGTGTCAAAAAGAAAGAAAAAACCACCAGTGTCAAAAAGAAAGAAAAAACCACCAGTGTCAAAAAGAAAGAAAAAACCACCAGTGTCAAAAAGAAAGAAAAAACCACCAGTGTCAAAAAGAAAGAAAAAACCACCAGTGTCAAAAAGAAAGAAAATACCACCAGTGTCAAAAAGAAAGAAAAAACCACCAGTGTCAAAAAGAAAGAAAAAACCACCAGTGTCAAAAAGAAAGAAAAAACCACCAGTGTCAAAAAGAAAGAAAAAACCACCAGTGTCAAAAAGAAAGAAAAAACCACCAGTGTCAAAAAGAAAGAAAAAACCACCAGTGTCAAAAAGAAAGAAAATACCACCAGTGTCAAAAAGAAAGAAAAAACCACCAGTGTCAAAAAGCGAAAGAAAATGCATACATTTGTATAGACACTCTTCAACAAAATGTTTACAAAGACATCTACGATCTTATTGACTTATATTTATTCAATAGTATGTCGTTTATCGCGATACAAAGCAGCCCTTCCTCAAGAATCAATGTATCTCCATGCCAAAGTTTCACTAAAATCGATTAAACACTTTAGCTATGAAAACGTAACAGACAGACAGAGAGAGTTGCTAGGCGACATTACGTTAATTATCACCTTTACCATAAAAAACGTTGCACTGCACCTCCTCCCTACTCATTAATAAAACTTCTCGTAGTTCATAAGCAACCGAGAAGTGCGGACAGACCGAATAAAGGACACTAAACTCTATGTTATAAAATATACCTAGCCAGTTATGAGAGGCCTAGACTCCTTAAAAGGGCAAATAGTTCATTTTAATACAGTCCATTTTACTTATATCGATACCTTGATGAAATATTAAATTCTGATTTTAAACTTATAACGATACTTTAGTCCAAGTTTTCACCAAAGATAAAATATGCTAAGCATAACAAAGAGGTGCCAAGTTTTCCTCTCCACTTTAATCGAATGTCCAAGTTCTTTTAAAATTGAAATGTCTTGTATATTTAGAAATATTTAAAAAGTAAATACCTATAGCTATTGAATGAGATAACTTTATGGCGGTTCCTACAGCGGTGACTGACTGGAATTCCTTTTCATTCGCGAACGAATGAATGGATGAATGTAACTAGTTAGCGGTGAGGCACGTTTTAAGATTTTTTACCTGCAGACATAATTTAGTGTAACGAGCCCTTGATATATCTAGCTTAGCAAGTACGGGCGCATATAACAAGAATTGCGGTGTATTAAATTCTTTTTTGTGTAATTCAGTCCCTTTTAAAAGTAGATTTTGAAAGAGATTGCTTTGAAAAGAAGATGATTTTTACTAAGAAAGAAATCTAAAGTTTCTTTTATTTTTTGGTTGAAAGTTCTAATGTCTAGACAAAAGTATAATGATCCGGGTATTTTTGAAGTGAAACTTTTTTAGAATCGTTGTGATTTGAAACTCGATGAAATGAAAATACGTCACGATAAAGAAACAAACACATAAATGTATACATTCTCTCGCCGACTTAATCCTATAGGATTAAGTCGGCGAGAGAATGAGATAGAATACATTACACATTATTTTTAATATAAAATTTTGACAGTGTGAATATTTTTATCTTTTTCTTTATTACTATCTGGTAGCCGTGACTTCGTTGGTGTGGAATTTGAAAAACGCTGCCTTGGTGGGTTAGATTCGGGGGCCGGGCAAAATTTTATAGGGTTTTTATTTGAAGGTCGAATTCGCTTTAAATTATCACATCACCTATTGTGTCACTCCCGTGTTGTCATCTATACATCTATACTAATATTATAAAGCTGAAGAGTTTGTTTGTTTGTTTGTTTGAACGCGCTAATCTCAGGAACTACTGGTCTGATTTGAAACTTTCTTTCAGTGTTAGATAGCCCATTTATCGAGGAAGGCTTTAAGCTATATATCATCACGCTAAGACCAATAGGAGCGGAGCACCAATGAAGAATGATTCAAAAACGGAGAAAATTTATTACTATTGAGAGACGCAGACGAAGTTGCGCGGGTCAGCTAGTTTTAAATAACTTGCCTTGTTTCACTGACTGATTCATCAACGTAGTCTAAACCGCTTAGACCACAAACTTGCAATTATGGGAGCTGATGCGCTGAGCTGATTTTTTGGCATTTCACCTCTCATCATCATCATCAACAGCTTTTAATAGTCTACTGCTGGACATAGGCCTCTCCTCAGAAAGGATGTTTGGGCCGCTGGCCAGACAGGTTGGTATAGGGTTTGTGTCAAGTTTTCCTTATTTTTGAGGTACTGGTGTCCTCCGTTGTTTTGCGCCCTTAGTCGGCTCTTTCGACACCCACGGAATGAATTGGGGTAGTGACATTCCGTATTCTTAATCCGTCATTTCAGCCCTAAGGGAGTAAATAAGGGAGTAAAATAAGGGATGAACGGTTGTTTTGAAGTTCGTCAGTTTCAAAGATAGAAACACGAAAGCCGAAGCCCAGCGAAATAGCTGGTCAAATATGTATCGATATTTCCATACAAAAAAAACATGATTCAACTCCATCTAGCGAAGAGTAACCAAACTACGTTGTGAGTATTGAGTCTGCATCACGCAATAATATTTTTCAGATTTATCAATACCAATAGAAGTTCTGAAAGAACCTATGATGTTTGTTACATATGTATATATATTATATGTACATCTATTAAACAAAAAATAATGGTTAAATATGTTGCTTAATTCTGGACTGATCCACGAAATTTTTTGTAATAAAAATAAATTATAGTTTAGATAAGGCTACAACAAATTGCCGTAAATGGAGATTTCGGGGTAATCAATTATAAAAATATTAACGGGACTAATTTTGTTGGGTACGGTAGTTGACAGAATAAAAGGAAAGAAAAGGAAATTACCCTTCTATCACTTGGTCCTTCACATGACCGCCAGTTCCGTCACTCTCGTGACGGAACTGGCGGCATTAACAAATATGATAAAAGCTGGGGCTCTACCGAGGCACGGGCAAACATCGGCGTTCTGGGGTAAAACATTTAAAAAAATGCAGGTGCGTGGAGAACCTCCTCTTATTTTTACATTATTTTATTAAACTTGCAGTGTATCTTTAGGTTGTTCTTTCTAATCTTGTAACTGAATTTTGAACCAGTTCCCGTAGCCCGAATATGCTAAAATTCGTGATTAATTGATATTCGTGCATACACCTGATGACAATGCAATATTAAATATTTGAAGACAGTAAAGTACATACAGGTACAATCCCTTCTGTTCTTCAGCGCATGCCACGAGAGGGGCCAGTTTCCGAAATTATAGAAGACGGGGAAACTGGTCCTCATCTGAAAGAAGGGATGCCCGGCAGAGTCACCATTCACCTACCGGCCCATAGTATTGCTTGACGAGGTGTGCAAACTCTTCGAAAGAGTGATTGCAAGGCGCCTCGTCAAGCATCTCGTCATAGTGGGGCCCGGATCTGGCAGATAACCAGTACGGTTTCCGTCAGGGGCGCTCCACCGTGGATGCGATCATGGGCGTGAGAGTTCTGGCAGAGGAAGCAGTTTTCGGGGCGAAGTGGTGTTGGTAGTCTACCCGCCGTAGAGGTACGTCGGAGTACCAGGGATTTACCTGAGACGGCGTGCGGTTTTCAGTCGGTTCGAGTCCATCATAGCCACGGGTGGGTGGTATCCGAGGGTATTCTCAAACAGAAAAAAAAGAGGTTTAATCCCTCCTCACACATACGCGTCAACAGTAGTACAACACCACGTAAGAGTAATCCTGAAGGTAGCTATTTTAGTCTTCATAAAAGCCTCAATAACATTAAAATTATACGTCCCATAATTTTATTTCCAAGAATTATAAGCGAATTCAAAACATTTATTTAGTAAATTGATTTAAAACACGTTATATAAATGCTTATTCTGGATACATGTTATTTTGAGAAGCGCCACCTCATAGGAGAACAAGTTCAATGTGGAAATTAATCGGCGCCATGTTCCTATCTCAATTATAAATTCAAACACGAACTTAATCTTAACAAAGCTGGGGGAAACACACTGATGCTGACATAATAATATATTGTGTAATATAAAATAAGATTCGTATCACATCTTTAGAAGTTTGGTACAAAATATCAGAATCTGGAACAGAAGGGAATGCGGGCACTGATATGTCTACTACAGGTGTATCTGTTTATTTTTTATTTACTTTTGAAAGCAAACTCGTTCGCGGTCAAAGTCGAAATGCGAAATTGTGATCTTTAATTTGGTTTCTTTTGAAATAGTCCACCGAATGGAAGAAAACTGAGAACATCTCTAACAATATTACCTATATATACTAATATTATGAAACTGAACAGTTTGTTTGCTTGAACGTGCTAATCTCAGGAACTACTGGTCCGATTTGAAAAATTATTTCAGCCTTAGATAGCATATTTATCGAGGAAGGCTATATACCATCACGCTGCAATAGGAACAAAGTATCAATAAAAAATGATGCAAAACCGGAAAAAATATTCCTTTGGCTTCCGGTGCATGCGCTGCGTAAACGCTTAAAGTTTCGCCAACAAAAAACATGAATTACAGAATTGTTCCCCTATAAAAGTTCTAAAAAAAATCCGAGACACCATGTCATTTTCTTTTCTTTTTTTTTAAAAGACAACTCCCGCTTTAGGAATACATTCCTGTGTCGCGGGGGACTTTACAAACATACATGAAACGGACACAAAGAACACCCATTTCCACGTATATAGTCACTCATCACGATATCTCTGGAACCATTAGAGCTAAAGACTTGAAATTTGGTAGGAATATTCTTTTCACCGAGTAGAGGTCCTAAGAACGGATTTTAAGAAATAAAAAAAAAAAAAGAAATGCAAATAGCAAAACAACGTTTGCAGGGTCAGCTAGTAATGTGTATGGCAAAACAACGTTTGCGGGATCAGCTAGTTATTATTATAAACATAATTCCTCCTCCTTGTGTCGTCGACCTTACTGCTGAGGATAGTGACCTCTACAAATCATCTTTAGGACCATTTATCTAATACAATTAAATTTATTATCAATACATATATATATGTATAAATCTTAGACCCAGATGTGGTCGTCTGACGCAATTTAATAATAATATTCTACCACATTTACACAACGCAATCTAGTCACAAACTAAGCAGAGCTTGTACTATGGCTACTAGATAACTGATTTAAATACATATATCTACTTTTTTTTGTAAATATATACATATTACACATAGAAACATTATCATCATCATCAACAGCCTATACTAGTCCACTGCTGGACTTAGGCCTCTCCTTAGAAAGGAGGTTTTGGCCTACTATATCACGCTGGCCAGACGGGTTGGTATAGGGTTTGTTTCAAGTTTTCCTTCTCTTTGCAGTGCTGTTGTCCTGCTTAGTTTGCTCCCTTAACAGAATATCAATAAAAACACCCAGACTAAATCAAACATGAAATGTTCATGCACACAAATGTTTGACTTGAGCGGGAATTGAACCCGCGACCTTTGGAATAGAAGTGCATTACACAAACCGTGTATGTGTGACGGATTAAGAATACAAAGTGTCACCACCCCAATTCATCCCGTGGGTGTCGTAAGAGCCGACTAAGGGAGCAAACTAAGCAGGACAACAGCACTGCAAAGAGAAGGAAAACTTGAAACAAACCCTATACCAACCCGTCTGGCCAGCGTGGTATAGTAGGCCAAAACCTCCTTTCTAAGGAGAGGCCTATGTCCAGCAGTGGACTAGTATAGGCTGTTGATGATGATGACACAAACCACTACGACATCCGGTCGCCAATGACGATGACGACGCTATGACGAATATGGGGTATTTCTCAATGAAAGTAGGTTTAACGCACTAGGAATATTCTGTGTCGCGGGGGGGTCGTCTACTCGTCTGTAGATGACCCGAGGTATGTCGGGGCACCAGGGACTTCCTTTCTAGGGTATACCTGGTTCCCCGGCTATTAGTGCCCGAGATGGCGTGCGGTTTTAGTCGGGTCGAGTCCGACATGCCACCGACAGGTGGTATCCGAGGGGATTTCCGCACGGCAAAAAAAGAAAAAAAAAAAGAAAAGGGGAATTTACAAACATACATGAAACGGACACAAAGAACATCCATGTTCTGAGAACAACAATTTGTAGATCACACAATGTGTCGTCCCATGTGGGGATCGGACTCACAACACTCAGCGTAGTAGTAAGCTGCGTGGCGACCGCTTTAACCACTACGCCATCCGTGCAGGTTTTTAAATTGCTTTAGGTAAAATAACACAAAATAATGTATCCAGTAAATGTAGCAGAATGTCTTTTCCCAAATGTATTCGGGGTCGGTGCAATGAGTTTTTTCCTTCTACAGTAGGAGACACGCAGAAATCAGATGATCATGATATACTCACTTAAATGACGGATGGCTTAGTGGTTTAAGCAGTCACCTCGCCGGTTCCTATTGCACTGAGTGTTGTGGGTTTGATCATGTATGTGTGTAAAGTCCCCCGCATGTGTTGCCTTTTCAAAAAAAAATACATTGTTAATTTAGTAAAATGAATAAAATAATGTGACGTACGCTCATAATGGGTGTTTTTAATTATTTCCAGCGAATGCGAGTGCATGTTGCTATGTAAATTTTATTAAATACTCGGTAAACTAATTAAGATACAGTTTATTACTATAAACTGTAGTTTAATTAGTTTAGTTCGTTCGTGGCTTTTTCACGGAAGTAATGATATGACTGTACTTTGAGTAGTGTTTGAGTTTTTAAACTGCTTTCGATTTTACTTTTTTAAGAACACATTAAAATATTTTCTTTTTAAATCATCACTGAACGGATGACTTAGTGGTTTAAGCGGAGGGAGGAGGTTAGTATAGACAATAATAAGAAAGAAAAATACAACTCACGACTTTTTTATTATGTTCCGATGTTTGCTTGTTGACTCGGTGTCATAGACAAACGCACTTCTAGACTTTCCGAACATAATGCAGTCTATGAAAACTAAAGTCATTAAGTACTGTGTAAATTAACCACCTACGGTGCTGGAGGCGTCGGTAACTACGAGGGCGGTACTTAAAGCAAACTGGTACTTAAACTTGTTGTTATTTAATATTTATAACAACTTCATTTTGTAATCTTAATTTAATTTCAACGTGATGTTTGAGTTTAATATGATTTGTGTAAACCGGTCAGGTACGAGTCGAACTATTATATTGGTCGATGAATTAAAAAAAAAACATTTAAAGACATTGATAGGCGATCTTTAATTTATGTATTATAGATTCATCATCATCATCATCATCCACAGCCTTTACTAGTCCACTGCTGGACATAGGCCTCTCCTTAGAAAGGAGGTTTTGGTATTATAGATTAAAAATCTTAAACGCGAAGCGTTACGTAAAGAATTCCAAGCGGTGTATGGTTAGTCTGTCGGTTTCAATCTTTGATCTAAAACCTAACTTTTAATATAATACATAATTATTAAGAAGTACTATATTTTTCTAGTTCTGTGAGATAATGTCTTCGTAGAATGACGCGACCGCAGTAAAACATCTGTCGCTACCGGCCATCAAGCGCATGAAGGCCGGTAGCGAGAGATCCTCTCCGATGACTGCAGTGAAGGCCTGACGCTGTAACTCTTTAGAACTTATACGCTAAAGAACGCCTATGGCATTGATTCCGCCATTGTACATGTCTATGAATAGTGTTAATAAATAAACAATAGGAACCTAACAAATATGTACTTCATTCACAGCTCAATCGTGCATGGACACCAAACAAGTTCTGTTCAACGGCCATTGCTATCTGTTCTCCGGATATCCAAAAGCCTCTTGGACGACAGCCAAACAAGTAAGTGTGTAATATATTATGGATATATGTATGGAGGACGTATTTGGCAACGTCTCCGAATCTACGACACCCTAATGTGGTTCAAGCTCGCCTATTACTGAGGGCCCAGTGTAAGATACGTGACGGTCGAGTCGATGTGTAGTAAACTGAAACTAGGCCCTCTTTATGTACTTACTTACAGAAACTAAGTTTAGGTTTGAAGGACTGTTACATTTTAAGGGAATTCTAAATAAGGAGAAGATTTTATTTGTGAACTGATTTGGATAATTCTTTTTTTATTTGGGAGGGTATACTTTACGTTTGGTCTCATTTAAATTTGAATAAGAAAATACAACCACTAAAGATGGAAAATTAAGAAATGAAGATTAGTTTATAATATTTTATCATAATGAAGGCGTTTTGAAGTCAGTATTATATTTACTACAAAAATATATAATTTGGATTACAATGATGGAACCAGTAGGATAGGATAGTAAAACTTTATGACTTTTAGTTCAGGCATTTGAGCGTTTTTTTTATAAATAATAATATAATAATATTCTGCCATATTCACACAATGCTGTCTAGTCCCAAAACTAAGCAAAGCTTGTACTATAAATACTAGACAACTGATATAAATACATATATACTTTTTTTTCTAAATACATACGTATTATACATGATACACCCAAACCAAATCAACCACTGGAACCAGAATCAAACCCGCAACCTTTGGAATAGCAGTCCGTTACAAAAACCACTACGCCAATCGCTCGTCAACTATAATTAACATTAACATGGTTTATTTGACCATTGACAAGAAGTTCACCTTCGCTTTTTAAAACAACTAAGTTTATAAATCAACAGTTATGTAAAAAAGTAAAGTAAATAGTAAACAGTAAAAGTAAAATAAGTAAACAACATATGAAAAAAGTAACACTTTGTTATTCTTTCATATACTATACATATACTATGCTTTTTACTATTGATAACAGGCACCAAACGCTTTTTTTCAAATTTATTAAAATTTATTTTCTATTTTTTAGTTTGGTTTTCTATAAAAGCGTGTTTTTTTAGTTTTTTTTTAACTTTTTTTTAAATATATTTTTTAAAATTAGTGTATTATCATCGGTCCTCGATATATCTACAAAGTTTGAACGAATTCTGACCGTTTAAAGTCAGTCAAAATCACGCCCAAAGGAGTCGGTTACAAACATACAAACAAACATACAAGTGAAGCTAATAATAATATAAAGCGTGTAAAAATCGATCTAAGTAGCATAGGGAGAAACCTATGACCATCCGTGGACTGCGATACGCTGATGATGTTGATACATAACAGATATTTATCTATATATTAATACATTAAAAATTATCTGTACCCCTTTTTGAACCTATATGGTGAAAGGAAACATATCATGTTTTAAATCGGACTGCACGGATGGCGTAGTGGTTTAAGCGGTCGCCACGCCGCTTCCTACTACGCCGTGTGTTGTGGGTTCAAACCCCACATGGGACGGCACTTTGTGTGACCCACAAACTGTTGTTCTGAGTCTGGGCGTTCTTTGTGTCCGTTACAGGTATGTTTGTGAAGTTCCCCGTGATACAGGATATATATTCCTAATGCGGGAGTTGTCTTTTAAAAAAAAAGTAATTTTTTTAATGTAAAGCAAGAGCAGAAAGCATTTTTTTTAAATAATATGTGCTATAAAGTTAAAAATTATGCACAAACGGCTGCATTAAACTAAAGGGTCCAGTATATATTCTGAAATTCGTAGTACAAAAGTCTGCAACTAACCGTAACGATTGCCACAGTAGTATTACAACCGGGGCCGGTGGCTTACCGTGCTCTACGAGGCACGGAGGGGTATAAATGTGTTAAGAATGCTCACCCATCCATAGACTGACCTGGCTAAAATTGTTTAACTTTGCAACTTGTACTAGGTTACCACTTAGCCACGAGAATATCGCATTTAAATAAAAAAAATCTTAAATCATATTGTATTAGTATGGATTTTATGATATCAATGGCAAATATATATTTCAAGAAACTTGTTCAAACAACAAAGAAAGAAAAACTTTAACTACAGTTCGGTTGGTCGTTAAATTATAATTTTCTTAGAAATAATGAGAAGCTTTAGGCATAATCCTTTTGGAACATTCTAGACGAACAGAGCTCCGCAATGCCATTATATTGTCTGTTATGCTTAGCGGTGACGGCTCCATCGTCCTTTTATTCTTTCTTCGTGACAGCTCCACGATTTTCCGCTTTATTTTATATAAAAACGTAACGGGTTGATGAAATTTATGGTCTTCTTTGTTTTATTTTTAATAAAAAACAGTAACGAATCCTAACAACCATTATTGCCAATATTAAACTCTCTTTGAGATTTTTTTTAGTAGATATTAGTTGTATTTACTAGTTTCGTATTTATATTTTGTTTTAGTTTTAACAACAATATCTATATATTCATCATCTGCCTACCCTTTTTTCCAATTTTATTTGGGGTCGGCGCAGTATGTATGATTTTTCTATTCTACTCTGTCATGCGTCATCTCAATGTTTACTCCCTTCCTAGCCATATCATCCCTCACGCAGTCCATCCACCTTTTCTTCGGTCTGCCTCTTCTCTTGTACCCTTCAACTCCCATACCTAAAACTTTCTTCGCCACATTTTCCTCATCCCTCCGCATGACATGTCCATACCAAGATAACCTATTACTTCTTAACTTTTCATCGAGTGGCGCTACTTTCAGACTCCCAACAACAATATCTATATATTATAAAAATAAATTGAGTTGGTTTGTGTACGCTTCAAAAACTCAAAAATTTCTGCACCGATTGAGCTTAAATTTTGACTCGATATACTTTCTATCTATCGTTTTAAAGATTGTTTTTATTTATTTTGTTGCGTCAATTTCGGTCCTTATTTCTCGTCAATCCTACTAGAATGTTCAATAAGCGAGGCAGGATACAGTAAGCTTAGTAAGTAAGTCTGACTACACGGATGGCGTAGTGGTTTAAGCGGTCGCTACACTGTTTACTACAACGCTGAGTGTTGTGGGTCCGATCCCCACATGGGACGAAACCTTGTGTGATCCACAAATTGTTGTTCTGAGTCTGGGTGTTCTTTGTGTCCGTTTCATGTATGTTTGTGAAGTCCCCCGCGACACAAAATATATTCCTAATGCGGAGTTGTCTTTCTTAAAAAGAAGCTTGTAATGAAATGTTAGAGGCACCTTAAAAAAATCGTTAGTTTCAAAATAAATGTAACACGTACAGTATCATTATGTCTGTATATTGTTCTAAACGGCAAAACTAAATAAAAATAGATGATCGGTGTGGTTCACTATCACTTATACTGGGCTCTACACCACTATACAATGGACATTACCTATGAAACATTCGCCTTCGGTATTTCCAGACCGAATTCAGCTCTCAAGAAAAGGGCGTACTTCCACCTCAGGGCCAGCAACGCATTCGTGACTGGCCTTGTGTGTCTGACCTGGTGGTCACTTATCATCACGTGGCTCATCTGCTCATTTTAGATTTATGTCATAGAAAAGTCATAGTTTAGTTTTATAAATGCATTCTACACAGTTATATCGTAAAGCAACATTAGTTGTAAGTAAGTCAAATGCTGGTTTTACAACAATACATAATATATTCTACCACATTCACACAAAGCAAGTACTTTGGGTACTAGGCAACTGATATAAATACATAAAAACTGTTTTTGTAACTACATATATATTATACACAGAAACACCCAGACCAACTCAAACATCAAATATTCATGCACACAAATGTCTGACTTTGAGCAGGAATCGAACCTTTTTGGCCTTTTTTTTTGTTGACGGGGTGGAAAACCCCTTCGGATCTCCGGCTTCTTGGGGATGTAGGAGCCAGGACTATGTGGTGCTTCCATTAAAAACCACGCCGACGGCCGGACTCAGGCGCCCCACTCCGAGGAGGACCCGGATCATGTTATTTTAGGTCCCCCCCCAGATTGACGCCACGCCTAGTCAAGCCCTATCCCGGGGAAGCCGCAGCAGTTAATATGCCACCAGAGATCCCCACTCTCTGGCAGCCTGCTACGGAGCAGTCCGTTACACAAACCACTACGCCATCCGGCCGTCATATAGTAGTCACTAATGTTCTTACTGAGAATCACCCATGTTATGTTATTTATTCTTTCATTCGTCCACAGGTTTGCGAAGGTCTCAACATGCATCTATCATCAGTACACTCCGCAGATGAAGAGCGTTTCATAGTGTCAGGGATCCGACAAAGCAGCGATTACAGCGCTGGATCTGTCTACTGGCTAGGGGCACGTCTAGCTGGTAACGACGGAGACACCCTGTCTTGGATTGATGGAAGCGCTGTGGGGTACCAAGGCTGGCCTCCGTACAATGATACTGAAGATGTTGATGCTACGTGTTTGGGTGTTCAGGTAAAACAATGTTCTTGACTGAAAAGTAAAAACGAGACTTACTGGAGACTCTAATAGGTGTAGGAAAAATGAAGAATGGAATGAAAAGTTTTGAAACGAATTCAAATAGCAAATTCAAAACCTTTAAGAAAAGAGCGTACTCTTTTCTAAAAGGCCGGCAACGCGTTTGTGACTCCTGAGTTGCAGACGTTCATGGGCGGCGAGGGCCACTTTCCATCAAGTAACCCGTCTGCTCGTCTGCCCCCTCTAACATTAAAAAAAAACATCCACATACTTGCTGGATATTTTTCATGGCAACTGTATACCGCATTTTACAGATATATGTTACTCGTAGTTATTACGGCCCTTTACGATTTGAAAAGATGTGTATTTTTAATAGATTTAAGATGATGTAAAAATTAGTGATAAGTAGGTACCCGTTACATGTCATCAGGTGACCCATCTAATGGTTTGCGCCCTTTATCATAAAATGGATGTCGTAAGAGCCGACTAAGGAAGCAAACTCTGGAGGAAAACAGCAGTGCAAAGAGAAGGAAAACTTGACACAAACTCTATACCAACCCACCTGGCCACCGTGGTATAGTAGACCAAAACCTCCTTTCTAAGGAGAGGCCTATATCCAACAGTGGACTATTAAAGGCTGTTGATGATGATGATAATAAAGTATTGAGTATTGATACCATAAAAATCTGATTAAAAAAACTATATCGAAAATGTCTCTTAGTCACCAAACTCCTATAATTACATTTTCATTGTCGTGCTATTTATTTGTAATCCTGGGCGTCCTTGACGCATACTTTGTATTTATAAAGGGCAGTAGAGTTGGGAACTCGCCAAGTTGCCGAGTAGAACTTACTTGTGTAATTCGTGCCTTTAAAATATGTCATGTTTCTAAAACATTCTTTGTTACAAATTTTGATTGTGACATTCTTTTGATAACATTTTGCAATATTATAATACTTGAACTTAGGGAAATACTTTTAAATTATAAATTAAATGTCTTACTTCCCATCTTTTGTTAGTTTAGTTAGTTTACGAGTCTGAATGTTTATATTTTTATTCATTTTCAACCTTATCGACATGATACATATGATCAATCACAAATCTTAGGGAAATCACCTAACATTAAATCTATTTACCCACTACTACCTTAGTTAAGACAAGTATTACAGGTTGTCCGTGTGGTGACGGATTTCGAGGCAAGATGAATGGGAGTGTCACTGTGGGTGTCGTAAGAGCCGACTAAGGGAGCAAACTACGCATGACAACAACACTGCAAAGAGAAGAAAAACTTGACACAAACCCTATACCAACCCGCATGGCCAGCGTGGTATAGTAGGCCAAAACCTCCTTTCTAAGGAGAGGCCTATGTTCATCAATGGACTACTAAAGACTGTTGTTTATGATGATGATGATGAAAGGAACTAGTACATCATCAACATAAAACAAAAATTTCATCAAACATTTGTTTCCAGTGGAAATCATCGCTAACACAATCACAACCGAGTGGTTTATACTGGACACTGCACAAGTGTTCGGTGACGGGAGGCTACGTGTGCAAGAGACGTCTGAACCCTGAACATATCATCAACAACATCACTGTTGAAGGCACATCTGGTATGTGAATTATGTGACACTTATTAATGGCATATGCAGGCACATTGAATTCGGTAACACAAAAGTATCGCCTTCGATATTTCCGGACCGATATGACCTTCAACTGAAGAGCGTACTCCTACCTCAAAGGCCGGAAGCACGCTCGTGATGCCTGATATTATGATAAATTGTAATTAGCTGTATTTATCATCTCATACAGGTAGACTATTTTCTTTATATTCCAATGGGATCAACTTTAAGTACAACCAAATAACAAAAAATGAATGATAGACATCGGTTTGAACATAGTCGTGGTCGTAAAATAGATGAAAAATATTCAGTCGAATTAAGAATCTACTACTTTTCGATGTGATTGCTGTTCTTAGTACGGGACTTACGACTACTATTCAACATCTCTAGATTATATTAGAGACGTAAACTCTTTTAGTGATTTAATTTAGAGTCCACATTTCTTATAGATCGACAACTTAAAATAACTTAAGAAAACCTTCCAAAAATTTTAAGAAGTTTTTGGCGCCCAACATGGGACTACTCCAGTTTTCTATTACAATGTTTTTTTTTACCATGGGTTTGTAGTTATACATATGCGATTCTAACCTTCTCAAACCGTTGCTTATACTATCCAAATCCACCGGTATAAGTAGATTTTTCTTCCAATAACTTATTACCTAACTTAATACATAATTTATTATTTAGGACTAAGATGCTATGTCGATTTTACATAAAAAACTGGCTTTAACCGTTAATATTCAGGAATCCTTACGAGCCCAAACCACCCAGGAATTTACGACAACGATTTGGACTACTGGGTACACGTCTCTGGACCGCAGGACACGAGGCTTGTCTTCGTCTTTCAGACCGTCGACTTGGAGTATCAGAAAGACTGTCTTTACGATTTTGTGGAAGTAAGTTAAGAACTGCCTTTATCTCTCTCTTACAGTACAAAATTATAAACATTCTGATTTTATGTTAAAAGATTTCTATTTCACAATCTGTTATAATTTTATTCGACTGACTGGCCTGTTGGTCTAATGGTTAGTGACCCTGACTGCTACACGAGGGTTCGATTCCCACCCAGGTCAAATAATTGTGTTACGAGCACGATCGCTTGTTATTATTATTCCGACACTAAATTTGAAGTCGACAAATGATTATACTAAATGCAATCTAAATTATGTATAATCTATCTATCTATTTATTTGTAATACGTATGTATTTAGAAATAAATAAGTATGATGATAAGCAGTCCAGTTACTAGCAAACTCTCATCCGAGTTTGGTGTAACATGTGTAAACAGCAATAAAACTCTAGAAGCCTAGAACAAGCATTTCATATATTCTCATCCATTTTATAATAAAATGTCAATTTAATACCATTTAGATATAAATAAATCACTTTGGGTGAAATAACAAACGAAATCACATTTAAATTTAATTTGAAATTTCAAAATATAGCTTTTATTTTTCGTTAATAAAATTCAATTACAAGATGTTGGCTCTCGCCTTTTGAAGAAACCTTACCATTTAAGAAATGAATAATTCTAAGAAGTATCGTTCAAATTACAATTTAATTTTCGTGTTGGTATTTCTTGGATCCGAAAATGTCTTGGGGGATAATAAAATATATTTAATTATTACCAATCATTAGTAACTGTCAAAAAAGACTCGTTGTTGTCAAAAAAGAAATGTTGGCCGCTAGTGATATTATTTGAATTTCTTAAGGAGCGGGAGCAAAATGGGCAATGCTTATAGCTTGTGATCAATTGATGACGACCAGAGGGTACATCTAGAGGTCGTGGGTTCGATTCCCACCTAGGACAAATAATTGTGTGATGAGCACGATCATTTGTTCTGTGTCTGGGTGTCATTTATCTATAATATGTATGTATTTAGAAATAAGTATGTTTATCAGCAGTCTGGATGCCAGAGTACAGGCTATGCCTAGTTTGGAATCAGATGACGGTGTATGTGTGAGGTTATTATTATTATTGAATGTTGGTTCGAAACTAACTCCGTAAACAAACATACCCGACGTAAATCAACTTACAGACAAGTATTTACCTTAGTTAAAAGGTTAACTAAAACTACTATTTAGTGAGACGGGTCACATGCGTACGTTTATTTTTTACTAGCTGACCCGCGCAACTTCGTCTGCGTCTCTCAATAGTAATAAATTTTCTCCGTTTTTGAAACATTCTTCATTGGTGCTCCGCTCCTATTGGTCTTAGCGTGATGATATATAGCCTATAGCCTTCCTCGATAAATGGGCTATCTAACACTGAAATAATTTTTTATTTCTATTCATATCATTCTATTCTATTCAGTAGTTCCTGAGATTAGCGCGTTCAAACAAACAAACACTTCAGCTTTATAATATTAGTATAGATTTTTACTAGTGAGTATTCCATCATCATCATCCGACTCATATCCAATTTTATTTAAGATCGACGCCATGTTTAACATCACAAAGAGTTTTTTGACGCCCAGGCATCCTTGGGAATGTAATAATTTTGAGATATAACAATAATTATAAGCGTTGATAGCTTATAAATATTTAACAGTACTGGCAGTCAACTTGCCTGCAAATTTGCTTTGTTTCTAAATTATTAAACTCATACGTACGAAAAAGAACCTTATGTTAGAATTCATAGGGTACATATTAAATTTCAAATGACTGAAAAATGTTGAGGACGTATCAAATATTTTCTAATATTCCAATATTACAGCTTCGTGACGTGCGAAGTATGAAGTCCTCGCGGTACTGCGGCTCCGTAGGTGAGACTCGGTGGGTCGCCTCGAGCAATAAAGCCGTACTCTACTTTCACTCCGACTACAAGTTTGTATACCATTTTACTACCTACCGTTCCGCTAACGTCACTGCCGTCCTAAAGATCGCAGCGTGAGGTACATATTGTGAATTCAAGTCAAACTTTGTATTTTTTGACTTAAGATTCATCATCATTTTTAAAGAATCTCTTAAAATTCTTCTACCTTAATAAAAACTTAACTGGGTTTTCTAGTAAATATATTAACTATAAACTATAAAACGCAAAACTGACCAGCAACATCATCAAAAAATATTTAGATAGACTAGAATAGTAATTTCGAATAAATTTTAAAAGCATGTTTTATACTCTTAGCACACAAGGCACTGGTTTCTCTGTGACGTGGCGCGCTGTAGAATTGACAGGATGCCCATCACAGACGTTTACATCTAAGGAAGGGATTCTTCGCAGTCCCAACTACCCGCACTTTCTGCTGCCAAATCTGGATTGCACCATTGATGTACTTGCTCCTGCCGGTGAGTATGCGTTTACTTTGAAAATTTTCCTATTAGTTGTGGGGTTGATGTTAGCCAAATATTATGACTTGTTATAATAATTATAAAATAAAAGTTCAATTGTGTTATATTTCTGTGCAATAGGTAACCATATTTGACCCCCTTTTTTTCTGTGCGGTAATCCCCTCGGATACCCTCGAACCGACCAAAAACCGTACGCCGTCTCGGGTACCCGGTTCCAGTTGCCGCACCAGGAACAAGGTGTACCCTAGAAAGGATATCCCTGGTAAAAAATCGACCCCTAATAGTAGTGGGTTTCTTACTGGCCCTTTAAACACTTGCTACATAGGTAGTGGTAATCCCGCTTATACCTGAAGAAACCCTAGTGACCTTACTCACAAGTATAAAGACAGACAGAAAGAAGACAGACAGACTTCAGAAGAAATTGGATCTATCTAGCAAATAAGAGTTCCAATCAGTACTATTTATAGGCATCGACAACCTTTTATGTGCATTTTTGCCAAATACTGTAATAAAATTATGAAAATTCTTCTCAAAACCATTTTTTTACTCCACAGGCAAACGTGTTTTCCTGAACATCAGTCACTTCGACTTCGGCTATGGTGTGTTTGATAAGGGTGTTCCTATCAACGTAACGGATTCCATTCCCGAAGACTCCTTTATTGACGTACAAATAGACCTGCAGAATCTTCCCATAAGACCATTTCTGAACCCCAATATATTAACAAATGGACTATTTGTGTCCCAATCAGAGATATTGAGGCTCAGGATCAAAACTGGAGAGAATGTGACAGGGCAAGGATTCTTGGCGCATTTTAAAACAAGTGAGTGTTTCTTTCTCATTATTTATGTGTTTTATATTATTTCAAGTAGAAATGTAGGGCTGAATTGTAGTTTTGAGACCCTGTGAATATAATCAATGTTGAAAAGCTGAGGTGCATTCCCACTCTAAGAATTTGTCTAGAAAGCTTTTTATTTATTATAGCCAGCCAGCTATTGGTTGTTTTAACATTTCCTTAAAACCGGAGGAACAACCGTTGTGAAAAAAATCTTTGCTTTTTGTAATAGTATATTCTTGTTTAAGACATCTGAATCGGTTACGGAGGATTATGAACCCTGGTTCGAGTTAGTAAAATATTAAATGAATACTCCACTCTGTCTAGTAAGCTACCTGAACGCGTCGCACGTGGTGGAAGTGTCAGCGGGGGGGTCAGGTCGCCTGGCAGCGCCGAACTGGCCTCAGCGCGCACCGACTCGCTCGGCACTCCGAACCCGCGTTGTGGCGCCGCACCACAACACGCTCTCGCTCGCCTTCACCGCCACCACCCTCGCCACCAGCGATCATGACTGGCCCTGTGGGCAGGACAATGGTTGGATAAAGGTTAAATGCAGTTCTACCAACATTTCTTACACAAATATTTTATCAGATCTATGTTCTTTTCTTCGTTCTTAACCTGACGTGACTTAAGCTGTAAGATTTGAAGAGCTACTGCAATTTTGAAAAGATTAATTTTTGTTCATAAACAACATCCTCTTAACTAATCTATTTGCAAACCTTATTTTTTATGACTTGACTATTTATATACATATTGCAGGTCAAAGACAGCTACACAGACAACAACGGCACAGAATGGACCTTGTGTAGCGTGGAGAGGAGCAAACGTAAGGTGGAGCCTCGAGCACCTCTCGTCATCAACTCCTACTTGCATTCACTGACTGTCACACAACACACTGGACAGAACGGTGTCAATATGGATGTCCTGCTCATCGTTCATAATGGTAACTTTAATACTCACATTTTATTTTTAGTTCAAGATTTTTATCTAATGCAGAAATTTTCGAAAACTCCATCAATATTATTCAGTTTCCAAATAAGTTTATCACTTTTCTCGTAATTGTTTCTATAACTGTAGATTATGTGTGTATGAGTTACAGTAATCCTTAAGTGATCATCCCACCATCCAATTCAGAATCGTTGATTTTTTACTCATTTTTATTACGTCACAATGCCGATACTAATTTTAAAATATGTTTCAGATCCCGAGTATCACAGCAAAGTACTAATGTTATCTGAAGAGACGAGCTTGGAGTCTTGCTATCCCAATCCCTGTCTACACAATGGACGATGTACAAAAGCTGACTCGAAAAACTTTTGTCATTGTGCTGGATATTACACTGGTATGACTTCAAGTAAAAGTTCTTATAAGTTTTTTATAATATGAATTAGCACTATCTTTTTAAAAATCTAAGATCTTGAAGGTGGAACCTCCTCAGTTATCTTTCACTTTATCAATCCAATCCATCCATTTTTTACATCTCTAGCCTTTTTCTTCCCTTTTGATCATTTCCATATTTTGTAACCGAAAAAAATCTTAAGAAAAATTGACCATAGGACCAGCAACTACTGGTACTGATTCGTGAAATGAAATTCCTTGCGCTATTAACATAAATCATAAGTTCATAACACAAACTGTACGCCTGCGGTTGAACTAGCGTAATCAACTTGCTTGGACGTTAATAGTATAAGGATATAATCTGTTACTGCCACCTTATTACAAATAATGAATACTAGCTTAAATCCCAGGTATATTTTGCCTGGTGACCGCATGCGAGCGCTCTCCGTGCGCGTACGGGAACTGTTCGCTGGTGTCGAGCGAAGGCAGCGAGGCGGGCGAGGCGTTCGTGTGCGTGTGCGCGCGCGGCTGGCGCGGGCGGCGCTGCGCCGAGCGAGTGCGCGCCTGCGCCGCCAAGCCCTGCAACAACCGCGGCGCTTGCTCCGAAAGGGATGGGGCATTTCTTTGCCAGTGTAACCCCTCCTGGAAGGGGAAGAGGTATTATCGAATCTCCAAATTCATCATAGTTAACCTGACTTCTCAACCTAAATGATTGACAAAATCTATGCTAAAGGGAACAAAACCGCGGTCAAAAGAAATAATTTTGAATTAATTTTAGGTTTTACATTTATTTTGCCAAATAACTTCAACCCTGTTAAATCTTCTTCTTCATGTAAGTGTTCGCTACTGACTGTTTTAACATTGAATTTCATCTATTATAACAGCTATTCATATTTTTAGTGTAAGTTGTGTTTTCTAAATGTGATGAAGTATTCTTCACCAGATGCGAAATTCCGAATCCAACACCGAATATCATCGGACTTGGCCAACGCATGCTACAGGAGCCGTTCTGGCTCGGTCTGATCGCAGTGTTTTTAGTGCTTGGTATGATCGGGCTCGTGTGGTGCGCCAAGCGCCACTTCCCGGAGAAGATCGAGAAACTGCTTGCTGAGGAAGCTGATCGTTGCGCGAGACGTAAGTACCTCAATCATAAGAATGGACGATATTTTTTTAGGCCATATCCTTTCTTCTTTATGACGACGTCAAATTCTACAAATTAAACGTTGCATTACAAGTGGGAAAAAAATATTGTATGTTTTAGAAAATGTATGCGACAATAATTGTTTTTAACTTTCAAGACTACTACAGGTTCTAATATGTTTCTTATTCTCACTAAAAAATGCTGAATAATTTCTTTAAAATCTAAATATTTTTGTTTAAACTCGATTATTTTTGTGTTAGCCTAATTCTTCAGAAAATTAATACTCCGAATTTGCTGTTGACTTAGAGCTCGAAAAAGTGTTGTACAGAAATCATTTTTTGTGTTTTAAAAACTACATATAAATCATGACAATATTCGTAAAATGTGTTCCTGATATGTTCCTGCCTTTTTTGTTTAGCGGATATATCAATCGGATTACAGAGATAGTTACAATCAAGTCCCGATTCATGACTTATACATATACTAGTCACGAAAGTATAAAAACAATTATCACTAAACATTTATACAATATACAAATACTATTTACTGCCCCTTCATTGACTAATAAAGTCCATATTTAAGTTAAATGATTCGATTTGTAGTTCAAACCAAACCAATAAAGGATTAACCATATTAGGCCAATATTTGGTCCAAGAATATAAAAATGTTTTCCTTCATAAGCACACTTTCAATACTTTAAAACCAGCTTGCCACTATCACAATTAATGGACGCGGGTCTATTGAAGGCTTATTATATCATCCAATATGTGATCTGGAAATTGGTTTGGTCTAGGAAATAATAAATATTGCCCGGTATGCCAACAATGCGCCATAGTGGCGGTGGATATGTGGACGATGGTAGTACAAGATAAATCTTTGGATAAAGACGGATTCGTGTTTATCGCTAAGTGTTAGCAGAATGCTATCGCTACTTCCTCGAAGTGGCAATACACTGAGTTAACAATTTTTGACTCATGCAGAGGTATTTTTTCCTAATGATAAATTTGATTCTTCCTATTATCATGTCACCAATATCAATATGTATGAGTTTAAAAATATGTTTTCTTTTAATTACTCTTTTTTCTGTTCTTACTTTATTTCTTAGTATAAATGACTCATCAGTTACTATTAATTAATCCAGTTTAGAAATAAACATTCCTTGGTCAAAATGATGAAAAATAGACCCCGTTTAAATCCTATAAGTTGTATTCGTAACAAATGTGTTGAATAAAAACGTGTAATATGATAAAAAAAAAACATGATAAAAAGGTGGCTTTGTCAGAAGAGCCTGGTAAACTCTGAAACAGATTATAATAGTACTTATAGGAGATATTATATATGGGGAGAGGACTATGGTATTACATTAGTGGGTGATAGTGTTTCAACTGTTTTACAAGATTTGCTAGCTTAGTACCATGAATTTAACAATACGCAGATTCCAATGGGAATTTGTCTGTGCTGTGCCTATTAAGAGTACGAATAAACGAAAAGGTCATCAACTTACACTATCGTAAAATAAATATTTTATAAAAAGCATAATCTGACAATAGAACAATGTTTTTTGGATGATATAATAGGCCTTTAACTTATTGGACCAGGAGAAGAAAGCATACTTGTAACTCACAGATCAGTAACGCTTTGTTATAACATTTTGTCAGATTGTTTCCGCTATACTCATGTATTTTTTCGATAAACGCACTGTCTCTGGGATGGTAAGGACACGTTTTGCGTAATTTTACATTTTCCTTCTTTTGACTTCTTGTCTTCTATGTTTTGTGACAGCTCCAGAAACTGTGCGTTTTTATAGATTGTAAATATTATCGAGACTGATGCATGTATTGATTTAGATAATTGCGTGTCGATAGATGCATTATATTGCCATGTTTCTGGAGTCTGTCGTGATACGGTTCTTTTAACTTTATCCAATCACTTTGCAATTTGTTTGTCGTTCAAGTGTTCAATGTGTAGAGCCGTCATTTTCGTTCACTAGATCGTCAAGTTAAAGTAACCGTGTCAATTGTGATGTCGAAAGGATTGCCAGAAGTTATTATCCAGACGGAAATAAATTGAATATATAATTGCTTAGAACATATCCCAATGAGACAATGTGACATAATAATATAGTCTATTTCATATCAGACTGGGACCGACTGACGGAAAAGACTATCATTGTCATCCAAATTAAGTAGACGACCGGTGTCAAAAGAATGTCTGGCAATCCTATATGTGTGGGGGCTAGCTCCTCGAGTGGGGGTCGGGGGCTCGCGGCGCTACGCGGCGGTGCCGACGGACGATGCGTGACGTCAGCGTGGGAGTGACGTCAGCGCGGGACTGACGCTGCGCTTGTCCACAGCGCCGCACGACGCGCCGCACCGCACGCTGCTCACGCGGCTCACGCGCGGTATCCGCAAGCCGTCGGTGTCGGGGCTCGCGCATCCGCGAGCCGCGCGCACCTTTAGCTTGGACGATCTGTTAAAGCCGCCGCCCGGACGTAAGGAGCGACCCGCGACCGTTCCGCGCGCTCCGCACCGCATTGCCGCGATATCATACTGACTCTCACCACTATAATTTGTAGACTTCCATCTAGATTTCTACTTATCATGTTATACATTATCTTCTCTTGAATTTCTTTGATTTCAGAAGAATTATATGGGAATTCCAAATTTTCAATATTGACATTGTGTCCTTTAAAGTGACAGCTTAATCGTTTTTTTTTCTTCATAACATACTATGCTACTTTACCTGAAAGCACAAGAGGAAAAAGGAGAACTACCTCATAATCATTTTGGAACAATTTAATTTAAAAAAATGATACCAAAATTCGTAAAATAGAACGTACTCTTGCAGTAAATTACAATGAGCGATATTTATTTGCTGGCTTTAAAGATTACGCAACTAAAATAATAAATATAAGTTCATTTGTTTTCACCGACACTCACACTTAAAATTGGTTTCTCTTAGCCACATTGTCTCCCATACTTAACAACCACAAAACGAAGAAGAACAATCCAAATTTGTAATTATTTGTTGCAAGAAACAGGGATTTACAGAAAAGTTATTTTTTAATTTTTATTTGCTCAATCATACAGAATCGTACATGTATTGAACATCTTGCGGAGCGCGCGGAGATCGGAGCTCGGATTTGCACTGGATGTGTCCCCCGCTGTGAATGAAATTTCTATGTGGAATGCTAAACGACCAATATAATTTGGCCCCGCTACTCTCGTTCTTACTTCTACTTTAATGTGTGCACCCCTGATAGCACAAACACCTTTTCTAATGTAGCCGCTCCTTCCTTCGTTGACACCTTTTTAGATCGTCCAACTAATTCTGCCTCTGTATTGTCAATAAAATTCGTTATTGATCTTTTCTGAAATACTATGCTATATTTTTAAACTTTAAACTTTGATCAATATTATTGACAATTCAAAGGCATTTTTATGTATGTGAATGTCGCTAGCATGCTGTCATAGACATTGTTGTGTGTTTTGAAAACATTTCAATATATTAAAATTATCATTTTTAAAATTCTTCCATAATAACTAATAACAAAACACTGCCTTATAAATACATTGAAACCTAGTGTTTTGTTTTCTTTTCTATAGCTTTCAATGTAGCTTTTAAATTACTGTTTTTAACTACACAAATTGACAGATCAACATCTACATTTTAACTTCGTGAACATACACTTCAACTGATAAATACAATTGGCACAACCTAAATTTATTAATGAGTAGCACTTACCCTTAATAATTGGCTTCTTTAGTATGCACTGGCTGCGGCCCGAGGAATGATGATGATCTCTCAGACAGTAACAGTCGTAATTCATTGTTAAATTCCCTTTTTCAAATACTCTAAATATTGTTGCTTTTGTCATAAACATTCGATGTCGTCGCTTTTCATTATTCTATTTTACACAATAATTTGGTTCATAGAAACTTTTTTATACAGGAACGCCATCACCGCGTAAAAAAAGGAATAATTCTACACCAACTAAAAAAAATGCTGCAGAGAAAAAGCAAATTTTACAACAACTTATAAGTCCGGCAACCGCCAACGATCATTCAAAGAAAATAACAATGGGAGAACTTATACAAATGTCTGAGAAAAGAACCTTGAGTACAGTTGAAAGTGCACCGGCGTTTGTTGATTACGGAAATGAAAATAAAGAAACATCGTTTGCAAGCGAAGCGTCGACGCCGTCAACATCTCCTTCCATGAGACATATTTCGGATCCTAAGCTAGAGAAGAAAGTTACTTTCGCCCGATTATTGAACAAAGTATCAGCAGAAATGAGCTCAAGTTCTGATGTTGATATGGTTAACACTATAGCGATACCAATGGCAGTCATAGCTGATAAAGGAATAAGAGCTAAAGCATCCAGTACTCCACCGTCACCAGGAGTCGAAATAAGATCACCTCACAGCACATCAAGTAATCAAGGAAGCGACTCAATGTCTAGTTTAGACCTGACACTGGCTAATGCAGCTTTAAAGAAATATTCGAGGTTCGTGAAAACAATCAAACAAGAAAATCATTCTGCAAATATAATTTCCAATATATTGATGGGTATTTTTTCAGGACTTCAAAGATTTCGAGTGCGGACTCTATCTTGGCTATGTTCCGCAACTTTTCGTCGTCTTCTGCAGCAATAGTATCTCGGGCATCGTCAGGCGGGTTCTCTGTGTCTAGTACACCTTCGGCATCATCACCGCAAGATGACTCAGTGGACGCCGATGACATATCACTCGCTTCATCCCACATCCCTTCACTGGCACCAGATTCACCAGTAACTAGACCGCACAATACTATTGAGATTCAGGTGACTTTTCTTTTTAAATATACTAAGACTTGTAGTTAAATATGAATTATATTATGTTCGATCGTTGGTTTCATTCCCGCCTTGTCTCAAAAACAGCTTTTGTAAAGTATTTCTACAAAAATTCTCTCTCTCTCTCTCTTTTTCGCAGGTTCTGGATCCGCTAAGCGCACACAAATCGTCTTCATCAGGCAGTAACTTACTTCACCCTCCTTCTATTCTCTTAGAAGTTCCTAGTGGCATCAACAAATGCCTTTCACCCATCCGAGAATTACCTACGCCTTTGCCCACTCCTCTTCCCACACCTTTGCCCACTCCGTTGCCATCGCCTCGAATGCCCAGAGCCAGCACAGAAATTGACGCAAAGTGTGAGACCACGGGTGCTTGTGTATCTCCCAGTGAGGATGAACTGGATGAAATTAGGAGTGAATCCAAGATGGAGCGACAGACATCTGGGTTAATGTTGAAGGTACATTATTTTCAACCGATTAAATGAGTAAGAAACTTTTTTTCTATTCAAGTAAGCTTATGTGTCTGAATTAAAATTAGACCTCATCAATACATTTATTCACATTTTTCGAAATTACACTTGCACGACGTGTAAGAACTCTTACATATTGGACAAATATACTCTCAAAACACACCATTTTAAATGAACATTGTTTATATTACAGTTACGCCAACAGCACATCAGCACAGAAACGCCGACACCATCCACGCATGTAACAGACTCTCCCAGCCCTAGCTTCACTCACAGCCAGGACTCCGAGCGAGAGCTGTCCTCCCCTTCCATACCGCCAGCCGGTCTCAGTGTCCCCGTGCTTATGATAGAGCGGCCTTCTCCTGGCTCCCCGCCACCCCGCCGCACTCCTCCGCACCTAGATTTCCAACCGCCTCCCCTCATCACCGTTACATACAACGCCAGCGAGGAGTCCGATGAACCGCTATCTCCCCGGCCACCCCCGCCCTCAGCCAACATGTGTTACCTCAGCCCTTTCTCCATGTCTGCGCGAGGAGAACGTGCTCCATCAGAGTCCAACCTCTCGTCGTCAGGGTACAGCTCCATGGCCAGCCCGGGACCCTCGCGCTGTGGTTCCAGCAACCCTCTCTGCCCGTCTGAGATGGAAGACCCTGGTTCCGGTGGTGGCCCCTCCTGCTTCATGTCCAGACGGCGCCCACTCATGAAGACCAACTCTAGCCCAGCCGCTTCCAACGACGACAGTAAGGAACGTAGGCGCGGCCGCTCTGACTCCGAGACGCTATCCGATGATCCCTTGTTAGAGTCCAACGACGAAGGCATAGGCACGGATGAGAGAGTGGACGACGTACCTTCCAGTGCGAAAGAGATGGAACTAGTCGCGTTGAAAGAGACTTTGGAAGTGCCGCAAGCGACCCTCTGCTCCCCTAGCGGAGTTACCAAATGCTCTATAGTTAAATGTATAAGTGTAGAGAGAGGACTAGATGAGAAGGCTTGTCTGAGGCCACCGACTTTGTTATCAGAGGGTAGTAGACCCTTGAGTCCTGTCAGTTCGAGGAGTGAGAGTCCGCTGAGCGACAAGACCGGTCTGGGAAGATTCTCACCTCAATTTTACGGTCGACAACTGCCGTTTACAGATTCCGATGGGTTGTACGACTTCCCGAGTTCTGAATGCGTCAAAGGCGCAAACAAGTCGGCCGGAAACTGTCAGAAGAAAAGTGGGCGGAAGCGGGATAGGCGGACGGCGCGGACGGCGTCGCATGACGTAGCGGGTGGCGCGGCGGGACAGGTCAAGTCCACGCTGCCACACATGCCTCATTCCATGCACAATTTATTAGAGGTCAGTATGATGACGTCGCATTCGACAAACTTTGCAGACCTCAGAGATAGCAATTGTTAATTTTAAAGTATGAAAATAACGAAAACATCTATAAATCATTAGACTTACGTAACAGTACTTTTTGATTTAGAACTCGTTTCTGACTATAACCTATTTCATGATTTTCACGTTTTAAGTAAGACTGTGCCGCAGGTACCCGGCAGTCGTGAGGGGGCTGTGCGTGGGCGTAAGGGAGGGCGGCGCCGTTCACGCTCGCAGGCCCCGGCGCCAGCCTACTCCTCGTCGTCGGAGGACTCCGTGTCTAACGCCAGTGTTGCCAGCATAGCCTCCGCGAGGGAACTCAGGCTGCCGGATATGGAGTTGCAAGTGCAGGTACGGCAGTAAACAATACAGTATGTTGTCGTTACTGTGCAGCATCGGTGTTTTGTAAAAGTGTCTAGAAATTATTAAAGTAACACACGATGACAAGTCTACTGATGTCATCAATTATTTTTATTTTAAATTCACGAATATTGCTAATTTGATTATAAATTAATAGTAAGTGATTTTATTGTTCATGTGTGATGTTGTTCTTGGTTCCGAAAAATTTAGAGACGGTAAATCCGTCGGTTCTCTCGTCCTTTCACAAAATAGAGTATCAGATATGCGGTTAACAGAACAGACCAAAATATTATCTACCTTGGTAGATCTTTAGTGGAAATCTACTTCTTGCCAAAACAGCAAGGTTACCGCTTATTTAGCCCAGATGCACAGCAAGGAGAAATTTTACGTAAGGGACTTGTATCTCTTACTATATTAAAATCAATCAAAGTGTTTTTAATAATCAAATTAGCAAATTAATTAAAATGCACACTGAATTTAACAAGATCACATTTTTCTTATTCAGATCTACGACACCAAATGCAATATTAGATCCAAGATTATTTTTTTTTTGATATTCCAATCTCTCACTATGTTTCTGCACTTAAAGACGATTTAAAATATATTTTCTTTTCTTATCTGACTCACGCTGTATTTTATGTTCAATAAATACAATTAATTTTCCAGCATTATAATGTGTTTAGCTTCTTATGATAATTTAAGTTCTAGTCGATGCTATGTGTTGATTATTTTCAGCTAAGTGAGTCGATGCGCTCGCGGAAACCGCTCCGGAGACAAAAATGCCGTAGCTCTGAGGTGATTGTAGCATCAACACAATTACCTTATTTTTCTGTTATTGCTTATGAGGTCATGAACTTTATTTTTCTTCTATAAACATACATAAAATTGTACAAGGTATTAATGAACTGCACGTAAGCTAGTATTAGGACACCGTTTTATTTCATTTATTGTCTTTTTAAATGTGTATATGGACTGTTGTTATATCAAAAGAATTTATATGTACCATCCATTAGTAGTTTTTACATAATATAGATTATAGGTCTTGTCTCATTTAGGTCTCATCTTAGAAAAAATAAACCTAAATTTTCATAGAGGAATATATCATAATATATACTACTTCATAACCACAAATATAATTATAGAGGCATGGTATTAAAAGCTGGATGGTTCAATATTGAAATTAATTTAGTGTGACTTACATTTATTGCATTATTATTTTCCAGGATACGTCGTCCAAAATATCTTCAAGTTTAGACTTAACGGAGGACTCAAGGAAACCAGTTAAAGTTAATAAATTAAGGACCATTAGTAACCAGATTAGGTATGTCCCGTATGTATCCTAAATAAATTATTAATTTGATTAGGCTCATGTTGTCATATTTAAAATTTAAAAACTAAAATTCATTCCTTTTATATATTTTTTCCGTTTGCAGATTTCTGCGACGCCTAGAGCGCAGTCTAAAAATGAAAGAAAGTTATCCTGCTCTGTCTGATGATGAGGGCGACGAGTCTTCAAGCGTCACTTCACCTTTACTTCAGGGACGAAAAGATTTAGGTCTACTGCCTAGCCATGCGATATCAGCACCCTTACTTAGTGCAGTAAGGCCTAAAATTACTAGACAAAGACGATACGATAGATCGTTGATAAGTGAAGACACGAGGACTTTGAACACAGCTGCGGCGCAAGACAATTCTGACTGAATTTTTAAACTTATTTATTGTTAGGCCAGTGACATTTCAACATTTTTCAAAGACGTTCTACGACAGCGAATTTGATAACGGACAACCACAACGACATTTCGTGTTAGTTGACGTAAGGTGTCATTTCACAGCAGCTGTCAAATTGACATAAGTATACAAGATTCTAATCTAATGTGATATATTAAACTAAGTAACACGAACTGTAGTGAGTTTTTTGAATAGTTGTAATGTTAAAAAGTTTTGATTTATAAAATTTTCTGTTGGTGTTTATTATAACGTAACGATACGTAACGTAACGATAGCTTCATGTTGTACATAACTTTCTCAATAGCAATAACTTATTTGTAGAAACTTTTGTAGATCAAAATATTTTACTGTAAGTAATGTTAGAGTGTCGTACTGTAACGTAGAAACACAACATGTCGCCGCAATCAATTTATTACATTGTATAGATTTATTGGAGTATCTAGTATGTTTTATAAATGATTAATTTTGCTTCATTTGTAGATTTCATTATAAAATACTATGTATATAATGCTTTTTGTAAATATATTAAACGTATTGCTCAAATGCATATTTTGTGAAATCGTTTTTTGCGCACTTTTTGCTATATTGTAAATAAATAATATGTAACTTATTTATTATTGTAAATATTGGGATTCGAGAGAACTCTTTTCTTTTCTTGACAAAAGTAAATACTTGTAAAATTCTCTAGTTTGTAAGTATAAAACAAAATGAAAGGCCCAAAAAAAATCTGTATACCAAATGCACAATTACTACTTAAATAAAACTATATTAAATACATATGAACTTAAGCACCCATACTATAAGATATATATGATATCGTGTACTAAATATATACCTACTGAAGCACCAATAGATTAGTGGATTGCATTGTGATCTAGATAAATCTTCATGAAAGGCTCATGTAGTTGTCTTTGCCTTCATTATTTTTAACGCACATTTCATTTGAGGCCAACATTGTAATGTTGCCTATATTCAGTAGTTACGTAGTTCAATTAACCTTAAATAGTAAAAAAAAAACAAAATTAAAACAAGCCTTAGTGATAATCAAAATATCTACCTTATTCGTATTCAACTTTCCCTCCCATTAGCTATTTAATTTCGAGGTATTTAGTGATTAGTACAAATTCACTAGATGCTTAAATACAGTTCCAGCAATAATTTTATGTGATTCGACTGTACAAAGACTGACATTGTTCGTGCACTAACAAAACTTAGATGTCTGTCTATTTATGTTTCTGTGTCTATTGTATTTACTGTAACTATGTAAGTAAGTCTTTGTATTCGATGTTTTTTTCTTCTTTTTTTAGTAATAACTCTTTGTTCTTCTAATATCAGTTTCATAAGTGGCCATAGATAAAATTATTTTATAAATAAAGTAGTTTACTACTATTTTGTTAAATAAAATGCGAGTATGTTTATTACATATTCTAAATTTAACGTATTAAACATCAACGTATAGGGTATTTCGTGAAACGTGTTACAAATGTGATAATGAACCAAGAGGTCTTAGTTTTAATGAGAAGTTTCCAGAAACATTGAAGTACCTTATCGACGTTCAGAAAACTAAAACATTAATTGTAGTCTTTCCGTGTTTAAATTACCTATTTATTGTTTAGAACGCGTCTAATGTAAAATAGTATAACTAAAATTTATGAAAAATAATGGCCTGTTCATTGAGACTGATTTTCTAAAACTTAACTCTTAAAATGTTGCCTATCTGTTTCTCGCTCGATCGGAGTATGAATGTGTCTCTTCTTTTTTCTTTGTCTATGGTTTATCACTCGAAATCCCGAGATCTTTGGAGAAGATCTACGTTCCGTGCCTTCGAGTCTTAAAGTATGTAGGTATGGACACATGGTCATACTTTTTATATGCATTAACCACTATTTCTACCAGTGCCATATTTAATATTGCCATTTCAAAGAATTTGATAAATAAAGAATTAACTATATATGACCAGATAATTTATCATTGTTTAATTTTATGATACAGGCATTGAAACAGTGACCATTTGCAAATAGAAAAATCGAGTTTAGACCTTCGTGAGAGCACCCAATTATTGTAAGCAATACGTTATGATAATTAGTAATATAAAAATATTGTAATATTAAAAGTAAAATTAAAAAAAAAATACTGTGATTTTGAAAGTGCAGCTCAAGTGCCGTTTAGATGTTGTCGAAATGAAAAATATATATAATTATTTTCAAATTAATATCTTTCATAATATTTAACAAAATTTTAATACCCTAACAAAAATAATGAGTTATCATTTATTAAATAAAAAGATATTAATTTGAAGATAATTAATTAATACACATTTATTGTATGCGTTGGACTTTTTTCTGTTAGTCGGTTTTGTCATTAACACCGCTACATAGAAATTGACATTTAATTCACAACTTAAATTATTCACAGAATTTAAAAAGTCTTATGATGTAAATTTACCTTAATTATTATATGTATAAGCATTAATAAGTTAAGTGTTGAAAGAGCACTTAAAAATTTAAACTATTTTGAAATTCATTTAATGTAAGTTTGATTTTACAATTATTTTTTATATTACCGGCTTCATTTGTAAAATAGATAAACCGTGATAGATAAGCACTGTCCGAGAGGGGGTTATAGGGGGTTATAGTTATACGCGAAAGAAAATATGCACGGGATATGCAGCGCTGAACATTGTATTAATTGCCCATTAGTACAATGTTCAGGGCTGCATATCCCGGCTAACCAGCTTCAAGATAGTTCGGATATCGTTTATCCGGGAAAACAGTTATTAGTTTCACCTGTATGGTTGGGAGGCTTATGTATATACATAAGCCTCCCAACATTGAATTAAATAATCATTTTTTTCGTGTATGTCACACACTTCATCCACAGCCTTTAATAGGCCACTGCTGGACATAAGAAAGGAGGTTTTGGCCTACTATACCACCCTGACCAGACGGGTTGTGTCAAGTTTTCCTTCTCTCTGCAGTGCTTTTGTTCTGCGTACTTTTCTGCCTTAGTCGGCTCTTACGAAACCCACGGGATGAATAGGGGTGGTGACACTCGGTATTCTTAATCCGTCAACACACGGACCCAGTATGTCACACAATTAAATCGTCGATATGTGTACATAAACTGTCACAGCTGTCACAGCGTAGAAAACAATACAATCATTGGTTATAAAGTTGGTATTGTCAGATGTGTTGGCAGACCAGCATGGTTTTGTTCGCACACCGGAGTCACCAGACGTTTTAGTAGTTTAGTATGGCAACACTCCGTCTAGTCATGTAAATGGTCTAAGAAACTTTATTCTAACTTCACCATTTGCGAACAGATTCCAATAAAAAAACTCTTGTATAAGTTTATACTCAATGTTGATTCAAATGATAAATTTGAAGAAAATATTCAAGCTCTATTCTAAGAGCGGAAAATTGAATAATTTTACTCATGCGACATATTACAAATGCGACTAAATCACGATAAATTGCATTTATCATGATTTAGTTGCATTGGAGTCGGAAAAACTACTATTTCAGAATTAATTATTAAATTTGGTAATACTCATTTCTAAATATATTGGAATTCAAATGTCTACATTCGCTTTATGATCCGAAAATGTTTAGATATGCCTGTGTAGTCGGTTAAATTGACGTTTTGAGATAATCATATATAAAGGACATGGTACTTGATTTCACTAGAAATACGTGAGTTGTTCCTTACAAATCGCAGCATAATTTACAGAATAAATGCATCAGTATTTTTTCTTTATGCGCATTCGAAGTTGATTGATATGAAGTCGGTTTTCCAGATGTTTTTGCTTTTACACAGTAGAAAAGAGTCGGGGGTACGGCTGACTCTTTAGAATACGGCAATGACAGGACGGGGGTAACTGACTAGACGAAAAGTGCCTGAGAAGGACGGAGATAGTACCCATATTCATATACCTTATATTAATGTTTTTCTTTGATAATTTAGTCCTGAATCGTTCAGTACGATGTCATTCACAACTAACTTCATGTCGGTCATCTTGAATGTAAGTATTGTTAACTCATAATTATCAGTCGATTATTAAACCTGTAACATTTATTAAAATATTTTGGCGATTATAGAAAATTTATCCTAAAGAGAACTAAAACTGCCTACATAGTGTTTTAAGTTTACTGTTAGAAACAGCTTACATGGAAAAATAATATGGCAACACATCGTGTGTTCGATTGCCCTGATTATTTTTTAAGATTTTTTTACCAACATTATTGTACCTACTTTTTTGGTAAATCAACAATATATACAAGTACTATGTCCTCAAAAAATAACATAAACAAATAGAAAAATAAAAAAAGGAATTATTTTGACGGGATACGATGTGACACCTCGAAACTACTATTTTTGGTAAAACCAAATTTCTGTGCAACATTTTGTTATGTTTATAAATTGAAAATGTTTTCTGTTTCATTAATAAAGCATATATAACAAATGTGTATTGCACCCATAGAGATTTAATTATAGAGAGATTACGGGTACAGCTGCTTATTTGGAAGCGATACAGGCAACGGGAGAGATGGATGCCCGATAGTTCCCTCTGTCTTTGTTTAGCTAAGCTTCGATTGGCTATCGTGAAGTGGGCATAGTTTTGATCATAGAACAGGCGAGATTAGAAATTTCCCCAGCCAACTACAGAGCTCGACTAGAAAGAGATAGAGGGAACTATCTATTAACCATCTGTCTCGTTGGCTGTATTGCAAGCCTCTGGTTCACTCCATGCTTATATCTCTATGATTGTACCTCCTTTGTAAAACAGTATTTGTGTTTTCTTAATAGTGTAAAGTTTGAAAATACGAGGTGTCATATATAGACCGAAGAAATGGCTTATTTTATGTTTTATTTTCATGCGATAGTTACGCAATAACAAGTGAATATCAAATATAGGTTATTATTTATAATTTAATGTTCAATATAAGTCACATCATTCGTAATGTTTTCATTAC